AATCTGGATTTATAAAGTAACTACAGCTATAAAATATGTAGTAAAAAGTTTCAACCCCTTGAATTGTAGTGGAGTAGAAGTATGAAGTGGCACAGTAAGACATTACTAAAGTAAAGTACAAGTACCTGAAATGTGTAAATAAGTACATTACTTGAGTAAATGTACTTAGTTACTTTCCACCACGTTACCATTCATATGTGAGGGTTAAGTTAAGATGTGCAAAACTGAAAAGTAGGTTCAACTTAATATTATTGCTTTCAACTAACCCAATACAGTTGTGTGAAATGTGTTGACATAATACATTTATTTAAAGGTCAAACATTTTTCAGTGTACAGTGTTTTCACCAAGTGTGAATGAACTGAGAAAGCTTGTGTTATATAATCATCAAACCGTCAGCCCAACCCACCGCCAACACCTTCAGCCCTCCCTAAACGTTTCTCTGCTCAGTCATATCCGTTTTTCTCAGCCTCATCATGTTTGACTTCCACATTCACCACAGCCTGAACCTGCACATCTCTTCCCACGCTCCTCTCTGCCCGGACTTGTCCCAGAGCACAACTACGCTTCCTAAACGCTCTGAGACTCGAGAACCAGAAACAACATACAGAAGCAGAAGATGAAGTCTCTGCCTCGACAAAAAAAACGTATAACCTCCAAGCTTTAAAGGTCACCGATTATGCAAAATCCTCTTCTTCATGTCTCTTCTACATCAACATGTGTCCCCTCTTCTTCATGTCTCCTCTACATCAACATGTGTCCCCTCTTCTTCATGTCTCTTCTACATCAACATGTGTCCCCTCTTCTTCACGTCTCTTCTACATCAACATGTGTCCCCTCTTCTTCATGTCTCTTCTACATCAACATGTGTCCCCTCTTCTTCATGTCTCTTCTACATCAACATGTGTCCCCTCTTCTCCATGTCTCTTCTACATCAACATGTGTCCCCTCTTCTTCATGTCTCTTCTACATCAACATGTGTCCCCTCTTCTTCATGTCTCTTCTACATCAACATGTGTCCCCTCTTCTTCATGTCTCCTCTCTACATCAAACATGTGTCCCCTCTTCTCCATGTCTCTTCTACATCAACATGTGTCCCCTCCTTCTACATCAACATGTGTCCCCTCTTCTCCATGTCTCTTCTACATCAACATGTGTCCCCTCTTCTTCATGTCTCTTCTACATCAACATGTGTCCCCTCTCTCTCATGTCTCTTCTACATCAAACATGTGTCCCCTCTTCTTCTGTCTCCTTCTACATCAACATGTGTCCCCTCTTCTTCATGTCTCTTTCTACATCAAACATGTGTCCCCTCTTCTTCATGTCTCTTCTACATCAACATGTGTCCCCTCTTCTCCATGTATCTTCTACATCACATGTGTCCCCTCTTCTTCCTGTCCTCTACATCACATGTGTCCCCTCTCTCCATGTCTCTTCTACATCAACATGTGTCCCCTCCCTCTCCATGTCTCCTCTACATCAACATGTGTCCCCTCTTCTTCATGTCTCTTCTACATCAACATGTGTCCCCTCTTCTCCATGTCTCTTCTACATCAACATGTGTCCCCTCTTCTCCATGTCTCTTCTACATCAACATGTGTCCCCTCTTCTTCATGTCTCTTCTACATCAACATGTGTCCCCTCTTCTCCATGTCTCTTCTACATCAACATGTGTCCCCTCTTCTCCATGTCTCCTCTACATCAACATGTGTCCCCTCTTCTTCATGTCTCTCTACATCAACATGTGTCCCCTCTTCTTCATGTCTCTTCTACATCAACATGTGTCCCCTCTTCTCCATGTCTCTTCTACATCAACATGTGTCCCCTCTTCTTCATGTCTCTTCTACATCAACATGTGTCCCCTCTTCTCCATGTCTCTTCTACATCAACATGTGTCCCCTCTTCTTCATGTCTCCTCTACATCAACATGTGTCCCCTCTTCTTCATGTCTCTTCTACATCAACATGTGTCCCCTCTTCTTCATGTCTCTTCTACATCAACATGTGTCCCCTCTTCTTCATGTCTCTTCTACATCAACATGTGTCCCCTCTTCTCCATGTCTCTTCTACATCAACATGTGTCCCCTCTTCTTCATGTCTCTCCTACATCAACATGTGTCCCCTCTTCTTCATGTCTCTTCTACATCAACATGTGTCCCCTCTTCTTCATGTCTCTTCTACATCAACATGTGTCCCCTCTTCTTCATGTCTCTTCTACATCAACATGTGTCCCCTCTTCTTCATGTCTCTTCTACATCAACATGTGTCCCCTCTTCTTCATGTCTCTTCTACATCAACATGTGTCCTCTCTTCTTCATGTCTCTTCTACATCAACATGTGTCCCCTCTTCTTCATGTCTCTTCTACATCAACATGTGTCCTCTCTTCTTCATGTCTCTTCTACATCAACATGTGTCCCCTCTGTGGAAAGAGACTCTGAAAGTTTCAGGAACAAAGATTCTCTCTCTTTTTGTCCTGATCCATTTCTATAAAAACCTGTCTGAAAATGAGCAGAGTTTGGTCACTTTATGTAACAGACAGAGAATCAGCACTTTTGAAACAGGGCTGAAACAGAGGGGATGATGGGATGCTATCTGTTTGGTGTTTGGAGCCATATATTGATGAAAAACAGTATAATAGACGACCTTTAACTTATATTTGCCAAATTCCATATCTGTAATCAAAATGTAAGACTTTTTTTAGCTTCTCGCTTCTGTATGTTTCTTTGCAAGAATACATGTTTAAGGCCGAAGCAGGGAGTAGACCATCTTAAACCTCAGTTGAGCCCTTGAAAACGCCCTATATTGTAAAGATCAGTGAGATATGCTTGTAGTGGAAAAACGTTTGATTTGATATTGTGAATGCATGTGGTGAAAAGCGTGGTAAGATTAGATCAGTTTCTATCAGATAAGACTATGAAGCTGAATGAGGTGCACCAAGCTCAAACTCAATACTGTTGCACAATATGAGAGGGATTGTTATGAATCTCCTAAAGGTTTCTCAACATGAACCAGAGGGTGGAAACATGACACATCATCATGCATCCAAATCATCCTGCTTATCTGTGTTCTGGTTGGGTCTGATTAAAGTTAACTGCATTTGTGGACACAATTCCCTTCGTGATTAAATTAGAATAACTCTTCATCCTTCACCTCAGGGGCTGAGTAGGTTTTCTACACGTTTTGGAACAGGTTTCAAAGCCATAACTTGATTGAAAAAATGCGTGAAATTGTGGATAGGGATGAGAAACTTGGTTGTAAAACTTGGCTTTGATTTGAGACATGAATAAAGATCCAAGGGGAAAGCTACACAAGTTCTGTGGAACTGAGTCAGTCCAAACACATGTTTCCAGCTTTAGTCACGTGCTTTAATTACAGTCCAGGGAGATGACTCGATAGACAACGGTACTGGTCATTTATCAAAACAATCAAAAGTGACAGCGTTGGTTGAGGGAAATTAAAATTACAATGCATTTTTCTCTGGAAAACTAACAATGTAATGTTTTTGTTATTTGATATATCGGCATAGTTCAAGTTCTTTTTTAATAGTTGATCAGCATCCTGTCAAGAAATTGATGGTGCCATTTAGTACCAAAGTGTACCGAATCTATGTAGCTTTTTGGTACCGTCCAATTTACCAAATATCAAAAACTTTTATGGGAAAATATTTGTTTATATTCATATTTTCATTTATATTGTTAAACTTTTTACATTTGTAATGCTATTTTATTTCTATTTCTGAAATATTTTGGACTGTTTATTTCTTGTGTCTTAATTTCTCTTATGTACATTGCCTTGTGTTTTTTATGCTGCTGCAACGCAAACATTTCCCAAATTGGGATAAATAAAGTATCTATATATCTATCCATCCATCCATCTACCTACCTATCTATCTATCTATCCATCTACCTACCTGTCTATCTATCCATCTACCTACCTACCTATCTATCTATCCATCTACCTACCTATCTATCTATCCATCTACCTACCTATCTATCTATCCATCTACCTACCTACCTACCTACCTACCTATCTATCTATCTATCCATCTCTCTATCTATCTATCTATCTATCTATCCATCTATCTATCCATCTACCTACCTATCTATCTACCTATCCATCTACCTATCTATCTATCTATCTATCCATCTACCTACCTATCTATCTACCTATCCATCTACCTACCTATCTATCTATCCATCTATCTATCTATCTATCCATCTAATGAACACACCTGAGCTCTAACCTCAGCACTGTTGTTGCCTTTCTCAGTTTTACAAGTTAGCAACATGAACAAGCTTCTGTAACCACAAATATGCTTTGACCTACGCATTGTTTAACCAACTAAAGCACAAATTACAAATGTTGAGACACACTCTCAGAGAAAGACATACTTGTGGTAAATCACCATTTAACGTGATGGGTACTGTTAATCCTACATGAGCCACCTACAAAGGAAGTCATGCCAAAAACGCACTCGACTCGACAGGGCACCAGCTTTCTATGAGGGTTCATTCACAGATGTCACGCGAGGCTGAGTAGGAATGCTCGATTGCGTAAGACGATTTTCAGGAATGCATGGACTCCTTCCAAAGCGTTACGCAGAGGTTTTTGCACAAATGACTCCTGAAATACTAGAACATTTGTCACAACTGTTTGTACAAGTGAGGTAGAGAGAAGAGGGGTTAGACAATTAAAGATGTTTAATGTCTGTTTATACTTTGTACAATTACGTAAAATGCTTTTACAAAATATAGGAAGCAGTAATAAAAGTATCCATAGAGTGAAGAAAAAGTTGCTTTAGAGAGGAAGAGAAGAAATATAAGGGGAATTAAAGAGTGGCTTTAAGAAAAGAAAATTACATTTACATTCCCTCGTGACCGGACAGAAGAGGTCCAGTAAGTTGTTGGCTGTTTTCCATGATTACAGGCAATTCCTCTAGTAGCACTTTGACTAAGGTTGGTTGTAAACGCTCATCTCTAACTGTTGTTGATCTGTTTTCCAGCCATGGGCCGGTGGTCAACCCTAGGAAGCCTTCTGTTTTTCCTCGGGCTATCTGGGATCTGTACAGGATTCGAACAAGGTGAGTCCCACTGTGCTCTCAAATTACTCTTTACTAGAGCTCTGAGACTATATAAAACATAACCATGTAAAGTGCATATATCTTAAAGGAAATTACAGTTCATACGTTTTTTGCCAAGTATGACTAACATCCATCTCCAGTATGTAGAGAAGTGTTTTACTGCCCTCTGATGGTCACTGGTGAAACTGCAGTGACTTGTTCTGTCAGTTCTCAGCATTTCTAATAGATGTGAAGGTTGCTGGCTCTAATCCTGGACAGTCAGGAAACAAAATAATTATAACTTATAAAATGCAAGACATTAAAGGTGGGGTAGGTAATTTTGGAGAAACCAGCTTGAGTGCGCTAGAATTTGAAAATACACAGCCGGGACAAATCTGCCACTTCCTTACAGAGCCCCTCCTCCAACACACACATGACTGGAAGGCTGACAGGCAGGTAGGCCATCCAGTTATTTTAGCCGGGCCGGCTCAGATGATTGGTCGTGCTTTTTACAGCGCTATGGCTTCCAGAGATGACTTTTTTTTATGGATTTTTTTGTCAAAGCACTTCAGATATTCATTGCTATCGGGATGTTAAGAGCATTCCATGGAATATAACAAAAAGTGTATCTCGAGCCGGTTTCTCAAACTTACCTTTAAGCGCTACAGCAGGGGTGGCCAACCCGCGGCTCTCGAGCCGCATGCGGCTCTTTGCCTAGTTTCATGCGGCTCTTCAGTTCATATCGAATTGTATATGTGTGAGTTTGGGGGAGAGACACTGACTCCTGACCATGGCCGTATCTACCATTGAGGTCACCGAGGTCCGGACCTCGGTAATATTTTCCAAGCTGTGTATATAACAAAACTTGTGAAATAATTGCACTAAACGGGGTTCTTTGTAGTACTTCCATTTACTGACGATGGGGGCACTGCATAACTACGTAGCCTCGATTAAAGCAAACAGAAGAAGACGACATGTATCAACAAACCACCGCAGCCCGGACTTGAACCGGAGCAGCGGAGGAGTGATGAAGTATCTAGAGATCTGAGTCCAGCGGGCTGCTTGTGTTTCTGTTCATCAGGACATCATATGATCAGCAGATCCTGTGTGAACGCTCTACGTTAGTCACTGGACGTCCGACAACATGCACACTAACTGATATTGCAGCTTTAGGCTATACTTTGGTTTAAATTGCGTGAATAAACTAGAGAGCTAAAGTTAATTACATTCATCCAATGTCAGAAGGATTACCTTTTAACAAACGTTTTAATGTTTTTCTTTCATTTCAATTTGAGTAAAACATTGAAGATATAACATTGTATTGTTTTCTTTTTACACTGACTCAGATAATGAAAAGACTACGTCAGTCGAAGCTCAGCTTTGGTAAGGAAGAGACAGGACAGGCAGAGAGAAAGAGAGAGAGAGAAAGTGATGGGAGTCAGGGAGGAACTGCAGGTACAGTCACACAAAAGAATGTAGGCTTAATAAGCCCGTCTATCTATCTATTTATATATAACAATAGTCTTACAATAGGCATAATTTTAAAACAACATCTATTGCAGTTATGATTTCATAATAAAACACCATTTGCTTACATCTTTGTTCTCTTTTGAGAATCAAACAAAACAGATTTAAAAAAAAAAAAAAATGCAAACAAACAAGTGAAATGAACTAAATCAATCAATCAATGTTTATTTATATAGCCCAATATCACAAATGTTACATTTGTCTCTGTGGACTTCACAGTTTGTACAGAATATTAGTATGACAATACGATACCCTCTGTCCTTAGACCCTCACATCGTACAAGGAAAAACTTCTGGAGAAAACCCACAGTTTAAATGGCTGAATTGCTTTTAATTCACTGGCAGGAGCGACAAGTGAGGAGGAGCAAAAAATGAACAACGAGGGAGAGATTGAACAAAGAGAAAGAGTAGAGGACAGAGAGAGTAATGAACAGGAAGAAGACAGAGAGACTAAAGAAGATGGAAAAGAGGGTGCAGGTCCTTCTGCATGTCCAGATAATTAATAGTAACAATCAACTGATTCTTATGTATTACACTTTCAAAAATAATTTATGCTGCATTCACTGACATGGTTTGAAATCAATATATTATCCGATTTGTGACCCCCCTCAGGACTTAAAAAGCACCTAACTAGATCATGAAAATCCCAAAAATCTCGGGGGTATCCCCCGAACCCCCCTAACATGTTTGGACCTCGGTATTTAGGAAATCCTGGATACGGCCCTGCTCCTGACTAGTGTTTTACGGTGTACCGATACTTGAAAGGTATACCGCGATACCCTGTCGTTAAAATCGTTACGATTCCTCCGTTTCATTAGTATCGGTACTTTAAGAATGACGGGGGAAAGTACTCCGGTGAGAAAGCGCTGTTTTAATAAGAGCCGTGTGTGTTCAGCGCTCTGCTTCCACTCCCTGCACTGCAGCCGTGCCTGCAGTCCCTCCCTCTCAAGCACGCTCTAAGTCCCTCCCCTCTCTCGTGCACGCGCTAGCTGCCAGAGCATGTGAGAAAACGAGAAGCATGGCTGCAAGTGGGAGTGCAACTGCCGCTGCGCCTCGGCTTGTTGACAAAAAATACGCCAGAAGCTAAATTTGGAAGTATTTTAGCTATATCTCTGACAGTGAGGGCAAGCCTACGGACACCACGAGGCCTGTCTGTAAGAAATGTATTAATTTTATTTAATACGAATTCTTGTCATTTATTGTTCTCATTGTTTAAAAGTTTGTGTTATGGTTATGGTTCTGGTGTGAAATAAAGCACAATAATTACATTTAAGACTGTTTCCCGTTTTTTAAGAAAAATAATCGGAATCGCAATTCTTGACTTGGTATCGAAACCAAAATGTTGGTATCGTGACAACACTGACAGTTAAACCTGATATTTAGTAGGTCTGTTAAGTATTGAATGCTGATCATTCTGACGTAATTTGGCCGGTCAAAGTTGTTTGGGCTCGGATAAAATCGCTCCGTTACTTTGGTCCCGTGTTACTTTCGTCCCGGCTCTCCCTACGTGTGTATGTGTGGTGTCAGGTGTCAGTATGAGAGGATGACAGCGCGTCTCATTTTGATGTGGCCCAACAGCCAATCACAATAATACCTGCAATGCAGTGAACCAATCACCTTTGAGGGGGGGGAAACCTATTGTTGATTAAACACTATTCAGTGTTTCCCCTACCATTGTCTTGGAGGGGCACTGCGAGCCGCCAACGGAGCCCCGCGCCCCCCCCTGAAATTCAAGGTGTTATATATATATACTTTTTTTAAATATATATAGCATCAAATTGCAAATAATCTATAACTACTGTCACTTTTCACATTGAACATGTGCTCTTTTATTAAATAAACTAAACGCTTTCATTTTAATTTGTGGGTTTAGTGTTTTTGACCCTAAGAAACACTGATGCATTAATCAATAACAATAATACACAGCTCCTCTCTCTGCTCCAGAGGATTTTAAAAATATATCCCAATGCCACAAAAATGAATCAGTGACGTGGTTGGAATCTTGTCTCCAGAAAACAAAAAACTGAAACAAGCGGTATCAGTGACTGTGTGTTTGATGTGGCTCCTTGCAGTAACATAGAAAACATGTGGCTCTTAACCTCTGACTGGTTGGCCACCCCTGTGCTACAGTGACTCAGCTGGGATAAGAATCTGACCAACTAACCTTCATTTACAGAAACCTGAACCTCGTCAGAGCTACAGACTAAACCTTACTTTTTCAACCTTGATAATCCTTAAGTGACTTTAAAGTTAAGCACATTGAGTTGTCTTGTAGTAAATGGGATATACTTGCCTACTTGCTGAATAAATGATCTTTTCTCCACTGATATTTGTTTTGCAGAGAACTGTACCAACTACTGGCTCCAGTTCGATAGGGTTTACTCGGTTCCCGGGGAAGTGGCTATGCTGAACACCACCCTGGCGTCTTATGACGTCTTCAACATTTCTGCGGTGCCCTACAACATCACCTGGTACGACTCAAAGACGCGACAAGAAATAAGTAACGAGACCGGACGAACCGTGGTGCGCGGAGAGACTCTGTGGTTTCTGAACACAAAGCTGGACGACGATGGAGAATACGTGAGCGTACTGAGGTACTGTCACATCAGAAGGAATTAATTGTTTTGTGTGGCTATCTTCAATGTAGAAAATACTGAAGAAGAAATTAGTAGCATCTACATTTTACAAGCATACATATTTTGAGCATGAGACCTCAAACATTTAGGATTGAACAGTTCTTGCTCTAAAGACTCCTACTTGCCTTGGAGCTCGTGTGTATTATTGATAAGAATAAACAGCTGTTTTCTGACAAAGATCAAATATAGTATCATGTTTTTTAAGGAAAATTTGAAACTTGTGTCGCAGCAGGTATGATCCTTATGTTTCAAAATACTTAAACCTGCAGCAGCCACATTTGCAAAACATTGTGGTGTTTGAATCAACATGTAAACCATGAACAGATAACCTAAATGTACACTCTAGGAATCATCACCTGCCTCTTCTAAATATAAACGTTTGACTGGTTTTCTTCAACCCTTTTAACTAGGGATGTCCCGATCACCTTTTTTTGCTCCCGGTCCGATTCCGATCATTTGATTTTGACAATCTGCCGATACTGATTTTTCCCGATCCGATCTTTATGCAATGCATTAAGAGACAAAAAAGGTAACAGATAACGGCTGGTCATCCAACGCGATGAACTCAGCTATCTTGGCTGTTATTCTTTTGGCCTTTTCACTGTTTCTGGGGCAGTTTCTCTTTCCTTTTAAAAGCCTCTGAAAGTGTCGGTTGTTTCAGTGCCGTTCCCTGAGTGGCCGCTGTGTACTCGTCGTGTTGTTGTTGGTGTTTGTTTCTCAGGTGGCGTATTAGATTGGTCGTGTTGAACGTATCTCTGTTCTTTCCACCACGCGGAACCTCCTTCTTGCAAACATTGCATCTGGCTGTTACACTGCCTTCGCTTTCAATTTTATAATACTTCCAAACTCCTGACATTTTCTCTGTCCCGACTCCCGAGTCACCAGCTGAACGTAGCCTCTCGTTAGCTGCTACTATTAGACACTGCGCCCACTCTGTTGCTTTGAGAGAAATAACCAGGTCTGAAAACAAGCCCAAAAGAAGCAACACATACATGATGTTGTGTCATTTGAAACCAAAACTAAGGCCTTAGGATGACTTTAAGACGTGAACATGGTCATTTTTGTTTTGTAACATAAAATAAAATAATAAAAATATTTATAAAAAAAAATAATAATAATCCCGATCCCCGATTTTTTTCTCCCGATTCCGATCTTTTGAAAATCACGTGATCGGATCGGGACATCTCTACTTTAACCCCCCCCCCCCCCCCCCCCCCCCCCCCCCCCCCCCCCCGCAACTCAGTGAGGTTGAGAAGCATGTGTTTTCTCCCAGCCAATCAGCGAAGATCACTCAACGCCACAGAGCGCACCATTGGGGAATTTGACCAATCAGCAGAGGCCTGAAACGGGTTAGGGTTGACCTAATAGTGCCCTATAAAAGGGTTAAACCAAGAAACTGCAGACACAGCAGCTCAATGCCTAATGTGAACAGAAAATGATAATTTCTTCTTAATTTGTTCACCAGAACTCCCTCTGGGTGCTACAGGAAGAACACCAAGCTGATAGTGGAGCTGCCGGTTCATGGAAAGTGTGGCAGGCCGAGGAAAGCTGGCCAAACGATCACCAAGGGGGTCACCGACTACCTGGGCTGCCCTCTGAAGGAATACATCAGCAAACTGAACAGCTACAACACCACCTACTCCTTGATGTGGTACAACGTGAGTTATGGGCAAATGTTGTTGGACACTGACAACAAATATTCTTGAACTTGTCACGGATTACAATCTGGGGACAACGAGCAGTTTGGCTAAAATGGAGATTGCATACAACACATTTAATTAGAGAAACCGATTGTTGGTGAGTTTTAAATGTAGCAAAATGTCTATATCTGGTAAAAGATACAACATTGGTGTTAATTAAACATTAATACTTTATACAAATCGTACTTGTACTGTATACACTGCCACTAGATATATTTTGTTGAAAACTTCCTTTAAGTTTGACTAATTTAAGAGTTTTCTTTGTCTATTCTGTAGAGTGACAATCCCTGGTCATGCTAACACTTAGTATTACTTTTGATTATAGAGATTATTTAGGTCTATATTGATATCATGACTATCAGGGTGGTCCTTAGTGCCATGAACATTTTCAAATTCATTTATTTTAAGCAAACCACCGGAATTTGTTATGATAGTCAAGAAAACTCTCCTGGTGAATTGTATTCAAATTCCAACAACATTTATCCCTTCCTCATCAACCTTGAAGTTTAGCCTCAGTAGGGTGGTCCTTAAAATTGAAAGTCAACATTTACCCCTCCCTCAACATGTACCCCTCCCTCAACATGTACCCCTCCCTCAACATGTACCCCTCCCTCAACATGTACCCCTCCCTCATGGACCTGGGCTGCCACACCAGCAGCCACGGTGCTGCAACTGAGGCAACACTTCAAGGTTGATGAGGGAGGGGTACATGTTGAGGGAGGGGTACATGTTGAGGGAGGGGTACATGTTGAGGGAGGGGTACATGTGAGGGAGGGGTACATGTTGAGGGAGGGGTACATGTGAGAGAGGGGTACATGTTGAGGGAGGGGTACATGTGAGGGAGGGGTATATGTGAGGGAGGGGTACATGTGAGGGAGGGGTACATGTTGTCAGATTGAGGACAACATTCACCAGTAGGGTTTTCTTGACTAATAGAATGAGTTCTGGGGGTTGGAGCTTAGACTTTCCGATGACTAATGACTATTCACGATGATTAATGTTTGATTGACTTTTGATAAATCAAGCATTTTGGAGTTATGTTTTTAAAATTGTAAACCTGAATGCATTCATTCAGTGTTTCTTTTCCAGCCTTTTCCCTGTGTTTTCAGCTGTTTTATTGCCATGTTTCAACTCCATTTTATTTGTCATTTAACATCAAAACTGGCATCCCGTTCACACTGAACAAATGTAAATGTGAATGTGAATGTGACTGCAGGTTATAGTTAGCATTGACAATTGAAATATTGAATATAAAATGTGCCTGTTAACTATAGGACTGCCTTGAATCATTAAAATAACTTTTTTACATATAGTCTCCCTTTTCTCGTCTCCTCTAGGGCTGTGTCCTCATTGTGGATGGGAGTGACGGCTATAGCTACGAGGATAACGCCAAACTGAAGATTGATAAGGTGGAAACTAAAAACCAAGAGTTCTACACCTGCACTCTGACCTTCACTCTCGATGGCACCGTCGGATCTGTTTCAGAGTCGATTGAGGCGTGGGTCAATGGTGAGAACAGACTCAGCACTTGACTGTTCAAGTCAGGTTCTTTATGCAGTTTATCCACAACACGATTCAATAATGAATCCTACTGTGATAACCACAAGTTATCCTACTGTGGCAACCATAAGTTATCCTACTGTGGCAACCATAAGAGCCTTGAAATATACCCTTATATTTCTCCTTATTATAATCAATCTGAGGCTTCTGTTTGAAGGGATGAGCTGCCAACACTCACAAGCATAATTTACCTACATTTGATTGATTGTGCTCATTTATAACTGAACTTATGAGGCAATATACTGTACCTCTAGTGAGTGGCCCAGCCCAGTATATTTTTCTGTATGTGGCCCTCGTGAAAAATGTTTGGACACCCCTGCCTTAAATTGATAACAAAGAAAGGCTAATTACTCTTTGGTATTATTGCATGTACAGTATTTTTCTGTAAATAGATAACCTAAAGCTCCATCATGTTGTCTGTCTTTTCAGCAAAGTACTCTTTGACCCCACAAGTGCGTCAACCAGCCGGTGAGATAATCAAGGCACCGATAGGTAGGTCCTTTCTTGCTAAGTATTGTGAGAAAGATGAGGTTATAAAGGTCAAAAATGTGAATTGTTGAAACTGACTGAGGCTGCATTCAGATCAACTTTTGCATTGCACAGCTTTACAAAAAGTAATTTTGGGTAGATTCATTTGTTAGGGTATATTTAACTGTTAACCTTACTTTATATCAGAAAATCAAATGATTTGAGTTCTATGATCCTGATTCATTGTATTATTTACAACTAAGGAGCAAAGCTGTGGCGTTAAAATAACTACTTAGACTGGATTTCATCTTTTCAATGACACCTGTAACAAACTCAGGACTATTTTGGTATAAAAGCAGCTCAGGAACCTGCAGCACAAAACTATTTCACAGATTTTAAATGTAGGGGTTTATGGATACAGATCAATCGTTTTTTGACTTGTTGTATTGTTTATGCCTGTGTTTAGGGTCAACTTTCAGCCACCTGTGCCAGGTGTTTGTGCCTTGTGTCGGGAAGCCTTCGGTTGATGTTTTTTGGTTCGTCCAAAGCGATTCAATTACGGAAACAAACCCCTCCGAACGTGTCTACACATCAGAGAAACTGTGAGCATCCTTACCTTTCCTTTTATTTGTTTTGTTTATTTGGCTGCTTTTATGGTACAAGTGAAAACTATGATGAAGTCCACGGTTGTAATGAGACAACTGACTCAGGTCTGATTCAAACATTTTAACTTACGACAAGTTTGTTCAGAGTTTACAGGAAATTGACATACAGTAGTAAACACAATATTTACGGCAATATTTACGCCTCCTTATTTTTTTGCAACATTCTGAAAAACAAGACCATGTTGAAATCCCCTGGTGGATTACTAGTGAGCATCAGGCCCGGTTACAGAACAAAATGACTCAGGGTGCATCTGAAATTAGAGAGGGTGCAGTGGTAAAGTGCTATTTTTATAAGTGTTGAGTGGACCTAACACCCTCTAGGGGGGTCCTCACCTCCTCTAGGAGGGTCCCCACCTCCTCTAGGGGGGTCCAGGGGCATGCTCCCCCGGGAAGATTTTTTTTTAAATATTGAAGTTAAAAGCATCAATCTGGTGCACTTTGAGAGCAACATTAAGAGATCTATGTGCTCTTTGCTTGATTCATGCCTTCCCAGTCCCTATCACGTAGCCTATAAGAGCATGGCCTGTTATTACCTGCAGTAGATGCAGTGTTACTGCTGGCGATAAGGGCTGGTTGTTTTAACCATTTTCTGATGTCCACCATTGACTGCTGTGTAAGCACCTTGCAGATGATGAACATGCAGCGGCACAGGTCGCGCGCAGTGTCGCGCACCTGACATAATAACGTTACTTACCGTTTAAATGGACCAAATAAATGCAGCAGACAATGTTATTTAACCACAATTACAATTTACTATATTCTTCTTATTATTATTATACATGTAATATTTTTCACTTTTCCTTTTTTTTTTTCGCTTTTCATTTTTCAACTGAGGGTGCAATGCACGCTTATGCACCCCCGTAGAATCGGGCCTGGTGAGCATTGTCAATTGGTCTTATAAAATGTCGTTTTTTACGATAAACTTAAATTATATTTGAAGGAGATTCTCTTTTTTTAACTAAACCAGTATGCAAAATAAAGGAGCGCTTTTTGAAGTACATAGGTAGGACATTTCCATCTGCTATCAAGAATCATGGTCAAAACTACTTAAATACTGGTATCCTGAATCCCAATCCCTAACATTGCATAAATCACTCTATATTAAGATTTCCAACCCCAGAAGAAAAATCTTAATCTTAACTTTATACGGACATATTCCCAGGGAAGTATTAGTTCTTTTTTACATGCAAACTGTTCTGATTGCATGTAGTTACTCCAATTGATTTAACAATGTGTCTTCTAATGACAAAAAATAAACGTTGTCAAATATCAATCTCTATCCATAACATTTTATAATCTTTCTGTGCCCCCCAGGACTAGGAGCGAGACTGTTCCTGTTGAGGGTGTGTGGATGGAGCGTGTGCTGACGATTTCTAAGCTACAGGAGAAGGATTACAACATCAACTACACTTGTTATGCGTTCAGTGCCAGAGGAAACCCTCAGAGCTACTTTACTCTGCTGCCAACAGGTGAAAACCCAGCGTGTTTAAACCTCTGTCGTTTGGTTTTATACTTTGTCAGGGCATTTGTGAGGGCAAACATCTCCTATTGTTTGTATGATCCAACCAAAAGGTCAAAAAGTAAGACATAATTTAGTCACAAGTTAAATAAAAACAACAAGGTACAATCATGAGACGTATTGCGGACAGCCGGACACGTAAAATGGGACACCTCCCCAATAAGCTATAGTTGCTTGAGAACAGGGGCCCAGACACTAATAATTTATAGGGATGCACGATAATTATCGGCCCGATAATTATCGGTCCGATAATTATCGGTCCGATATTAGGAATTATGACGTCATCCCGATAAACCCGATACCAGTATTAATAGCCCCGATAATATACAATATATTTTTTGGGTAAAAAAAAAAGAAAAATACTGCGGTGTGGGTGGATTGGGATGAGGGGCGCTTGTTTTTCACTCGGCTCCTCCCGTTTTGCCAGTACTGTGGTATTAGTGGTTTAGGAAGAGGGGAGTTCTTCACAAATCCAGCGCTCCCTAACTCATGCCTGGCTGTGACGTAAATGGTGTGCGGCCGTGAAGCCAGGACAGTAAACAAACATGTCGTCGGTGGTATGGGCGTTGGAGCTATGTGCAACTCAAGGCATATGCTCGAACCGGAGCTGCCTGGACGCTGCAATCATGTTGCGCACTATCCCTGCTGAGTGTGCTGACTTTTCGTACAATGTCCCACTGTCTGGCTTCCTGCATAAAGTCAAGTGCTCGGCGCAGTTGTGGCGAAATGTCGCTCCTCTGTTTTCATTTAAACAGCTCCTTATATCCGTTAGCGCAGCTAGCTAGCACCAGATGCTAACAACAACAATGCACGTAAGGTCTCTCTCTCGCTCGCTCGGGCCACACATACACACACCCTCCCGGTCCTCCAGATGGCCAGTCGGTGCCTGCCGGTGAGCGTGGAAGTGTGGTCTGCCACAAGCAGGCGGCAGGAGCGGGCTGTCAGCATCAGCTTGTAGATGGTATTTTAAACTCGATGCGCTCTGAAATAGGGTTGCCAGAAACTGACCATGATTAAAATCGATTAATCGGCAGCCCTGGCGATTAATAATCGATTAATCGACCGACCCCCCCCCCCCCCCCCCCCGCGGGAGGAAAAAAATGCATGTCATCACAACGACGTGGCCTTGAAGTGAAGTTGGTAATGGCCGGCTGTGCTGCGTCTTTCTCTGTAATCTCTATGGCGTGCTTTGCACTCAAATGTGAACGCATTGTTGAGGTTGAGCTGTGATAGACCAACGTCTTTTCGCAGAGCTTGCATTTAACTTCCTTTGGACTTGTAAGTTCAAAGTAGTTCCACGAGGAGGAACTCTTTTTACCTGCCGCTTTGTTCATCTTTAGTCGCACGTGTGAGGGAGAGGGGGGGTGGGGGCGGGGTCGGTGTGTAGCGTGCTGCAGCAGCAGTCTGCTCTGCACGCAGGCTTCCTCCAAGTTTACAGTAAAACAAACTGGTGGTGTGACCAATGGCCATTTACAATTATTAATACTATTACTATTATTAGCATTAGTCTATATTTTAGTTGAAACTAAGCCAGAAAAAAAAAAAAAAATTAAATAATAAAAAAAAAATTTAAAAATATAATCGTTTTTTAAAAATAATAATCGATTATGGAGACTGTAACGATTAATCGCTGGCATCCCTACTCTGAAACTACGGGGCGGCCGAGGAAAAAAAATACCCATGCGTTAATCGCGTTAAAATAATTAGTGGCGTAAAAAAAAAAAAGGTATTATTGGTATCGGTCTTGAGAAGCAGGAAGTTATCGGTTTCGGTATCGGTTTCAAAAAAACAATATCGTGCATCCCTAATAATTTAAAATACTTTCATTATATATAATTAGAACAAATGGAATTGAGAGAGTTTTCCGAAACATTACAACCCAAAAACAAATCCCAAACGGCATTTCGGAAAAAAGTGAACTTCTGTCGAAGTCCACAGCCATTCAGCGTATTCAATCTATGACAAGTGTTGTCTTAAGCGCGTTTTAAAGACAGACGAAGATAAAGACATTTTTTATAGAGTTACCAATCTCATTCCACACTTGAGGACCTCTGCAGACACACACACTAAAGCTGCTAAATGTAGTTTACTGTCAGACTATTGCTGCCTCTACATGACCAGCAGTTATTTTAGTTTTTCCTACTGGGTTAGGGTAAAAAAAAATCACCACCAAAAATGCCACGAGTGCTGCGCTCTAAGTTAAAATGATTTTGAATTTCACTGACCATTAAAAGCGCCGCTCATGAGAAGACGGCTGAATGGAGCCGCAAAGGCAAGCAGGGTAGGTAACTATAGTACGGAAACTAACTAGCTGTTTTCACCACAAAGCTCTGCGCTCTACCTCGTGGTGAGAAAGAAAATCAGGGGAAGGTAGCTGAGGAAACCCAGCAAAGAATTGAGTTCAGGTTGAATCCCCTAGGCGCCTATATGCTCTCTGTTGTAGGCTATAATACACAGAGAGCATACTGAATGAGAGTATGAGCTACATCATAAACCACACAGAAGAAGAGTCTGCTCTCTGTCCCCAGAGTCAGAACTAAACATGGAGAAGTTCAGTTATTATGCTCCAAATATCTGGAACAAACTCCCAGAAACCCGCAGGTCCGCCGCAACTCTTAACACTTTTAAATCCAGGCTGAATACTTTTCTTTTTGCCGCTGCTTTTGATTGAACTTTTCATATCTTACACTGCACTGTAGCTCGTACTCATGTATTTTATATGTAATCTTATTTTATGTTTATTTTATTCGCTTTTAAATACCATTTTATAATGTGATCTCTTAATGCCCTTAATGTTTTTAAATGTTTGTAAAACACTTTGAATTGCCTTGTGTTGAAAGGTGCCATATAAATAAACTTCTGATATGTTTGATGTTCATACAGATCCAGACATGAGACTTCCCATTGGAATGATTCTTGGAAATGTGGCGGTTCTCTTTATCGTCTCCGTCATCCTCTACTACCTTTTTAAAGTCGACATTGTGCTCTGCTTTCGGAGGATGTTTCCAGTCTTCTATACAAATACAGGTAATATTTAGCAGATGTGTGTAAGAATGTATGTGTTGTTATGACTAGTATGATATGATATAAGATATATCTTCAGAGATTTTGGATACCATAATCGTAAATGTTTCCCTGGCTACGTTACAAGAAAGTGATTTTTATTTGCTTTACTCACTTTTATCAATATTATTGATTATTTATAACAAAAGAATGGTGTGGTCAATGGTCAACTCTACAATATTGATTTAAAAAGGTACTTAGTCAAAAAGATTGCATACTTTACATATACAGTATAATGTGTATGGATATATAGGGATATACATTAATGTGGGTTTATATATATATGGATACAAAGGTTATATATCCACAAGATTAATGATAATGAATAACCTTATTGTGTAAATATGTTATGAAAGCAACACAAGTTAACCCTATAATCTTAATATCAAGGTATTTGGTCTAAATATATTGTGATATTTGATTTTGCTGAACACATATTGTTCTTTACTGTAGATCAGCGGTTTCCAACCTTTTTCAAATCAGGGCCCACTTAAGAATCTAAATTGTTTCGCTGCCCACATTCAACCATAAACAATACGGAGGCTGAATACAGTTCTGATTGGTCAATTCAGAACATGTGACACGTTGTTAATCCAGTAGAACAGACCGTTGTCAAGGACTGTAATGACCGTTGCTAAGGAGGATCAAGAACGAGAAAGGAAAGGGGGTTCAAATTTTTAAAAAATCAAAAAAATGAAATGTTTCCACACAAATCATAATGTTTTGCAAATGATTTGGCGGCCCACAGGTTGGGAGCCGCTGCTGTAGATAAAAGACATCTCGTCTCAAAATACCCGTACACTACACACAGCGTCCATATTGGAAAAACCCACAGTGATGCCTACACATTGCAACACACACAGAGTACACACACATTTCACAGAATCTGGAGCTCTACTCCATACCTGACCGCAAGTGTCAACAGTGAAAGGAAACTAACCACAGGCGCTCAGAGTTTCTGATGAAATGTCATTTGCTGCCTGCTTATGGAACAGAGGAAACTGTGTCAAACACTACTGACTGTGGGTACATTTACTCAAGTACTGTACTTAAGTACAATTTTGAGGTACTTGAATCTACCATCAGCGAAACAGGTTACCGGACATCGTCATACTGTCCAATTCTTCTTTTTTACACCTTTTCTTAAATCAATTTATGTTTATGTATGCTTTAAATCATTTGGCAAAGAATCTTTTTCAAAAAGCTCAAAGTACATCGATCATCACCTCAAAATCTGCCTTAAATGTAATAATCCAATTATTAATCAAATGTGCATATAGCATGAGATAGCACGGCTGAATCTGACTTGAATAAAGCAACCTGTGCAGACTGAACGGCCACAAAAACAACCTTTAATGAGCTCTTCTTCTTTGTTCCTGAGTCAGATTCGGATGGGAAGCTGTATGACGCCTATGTGGCGTACTCTCAGCCCAACACAGAGGGATTCAGCAATGAAGTGGAGGCGTTTGTCTTTCACACACTACCCGAAGTGTTGGAAAAGGCCTGCGGCTACAAACTCTTCATAGCGGGCCGTGACTGCATCCCCGGGATGGGTGAGTCCCCTTCATGGCAGAAGCAGCATTGTAGTATTAGCATTGTAGTATTTCTTACCTTATGGCGCTTTTCCATTACAGGGTTTTAGCTCGGCTCGGCTCGCTCTTTTTTGCTTTTCCACTAGGGGTAGTACCGGCTCACTGGTACTTTTTTAGGACCCCCTCAGTCGAGGTTCCAAGCGAGCTGAAAATATGCTAAGCTAGTGACGTAAAACACTGCCGACTGCTGATTGGTTAATAGATATAATAGAGATAATCGTCACAATGCTTGCGCGAGATAGTCCCCAAGCGTCGCATAAGCACCATTTTTAAAACAGACGAGCTACCGTCAGCAAGTATTTCTAATTTATAGATACAGATAATATTTAGATACAGGGGTAAAAATCATCTCTTTTTTTTTAAAATTCCGAATTCTTCAAAGTTAGAAGGAAAGGTTGGTGCAGAGGACTTTTTCTTATTACTAAAAATTAGGGCTGTCAAGTTAACGCGTTAATAACGCAAACAAAAATTAACGCCACTAATTATTTTAACGCATGTGTATTTTTTGTCCTCTGCCGCACCGTAGTTTCAGAGCGCATCGAGTTTAAAATACCATCTACAAGCTGATGCTGACAGCCCCGCTCCTGCCGCCTGCTTGTGGCAGACCACACTTCCACGCTCACCCGCAGGCACCGACTGGCCATCTGGAGGACCGGGAGGGTGTGTGTATGTGTGGCCCGAGCGAGCGAGAGAGAGACCTTACGTGCATTGTTGTTGTTAGCATCTGGTGCTAGCTAGCTGCGCTAACGGATATGGAGCTGTTTAAATGAAAACAGAGGAGCGACATTTCGCCACAACTGCGCCGAGCACTTGACTTTATGCAGGAAGCCAGACAGTGGGACATTGTACGAAAAGTCAGCACACTCAGCACGGATAGTGCGCAACATGATTGCAGCGTCCAGGCAGCTCCCGTTCGAGCATATGCCTTGAGTTGCACATAGCTCCAACGATCCATCACACACACACACACACACACACAGTATTGTATTATTGAATGAGAGAGGTTCCAGGTTGAATTGAGGCGAATATTTGTAATGTTCAGAGGTTGTTGTGTTTAATATTCATGAGGTTATTTGTCATTGTTCAAATGATAATAAACATTTGCATAAAGCATATTTGTCCACTCATATGTTGATAAGAGTATTAAAAACTTGAAAAATATTCCTCTAAGGTACATTTAGAACAGATCAAAAATGTGCGATTAATTTGCGATTAATCTCGATTAACTATTTTAATCGACTGACAGCCCTAGTAAAAATATTATACTCTTAGTCACAACCATGTACATTTACAACAGCATTTGTCATGTATGTTATTTATGATAGTTATTAATCATGTTCTTAATCATAGCATTGTTGGTTGAACCTATTGGTTTAGGGCCCTTTTTTATTCCACAGATAGACAACTGCCTTTTGTTTGGTAACATTAATTCAAGTTTACTCACACATTGTTTAAATATTTAAAATATCAGATATCCGATAAACATAAGAGAGAATCTTAAGAGGTAACATTTGGATAAATCACAAGAAGGCTAAGTGATTAAAAGTTAGTCCAATACACATGCTTTCATATCAAAAAAGGTTTGTTTCTGCTTGTTAGCCTGCTCATCATCTCTCAGATATATCTTGTACTACCACAGGTCAGGTTATGAGTTTTATGAGTAGCTACGTTGGGGATCGTTATCTATTAAACTCTTTTGTTTAAACTAATATCACTGTCTTTTCTTCCCTGCAGCCATAGTGGACTCGGTGGAAGAGAACATTCAAGGAAGCCGGCGCCTCCTCCTGCTCTACACCGCCTCCACTTTCATGAGAAAAAGACTCACAAGCAGTATCAGTAGCAACAACAACAACATCACAAAGAGCAGTGACAGCAGGGATAGCACCGAAAACAGCAAAATCAAGAAGGAAAGTGACCGCAGCAGCAACATGAGTTTCGATGGCGGTGAAGAAAACTATCCAGACTCAAGACAGCAGCTGGAGCGTCTGGCAGCGATGCACAGGTCTCTGCTGGAGGGATCTCTCAAGGTGAGGAAGCAGACCTTTAATCTATGCGTCGGGAGATTCAGGGTGATTGGGCAGAGATGGCAAAAGTACACACATCCTTTACTCAAGTAGAAGTACACATAACTCGTGTTTAAAAATACTCTGGTGAAAGTAGAAGTACTGACTAAACTTCTTTACTCAAGTCAAAGTAAAGAGGCTTTGAAGTGTACTTCAGTAAAAAGTACCCATAACTACCAGCTGCTTTAAAGAGTACCTGACCTCCCTTTATATTAATAGAACAATAATGTCATTGTTAGCTAATGAATGTTTCCATGCTGAACAACGGCAACATGACAACGTTTCCATTGGTCCCTCTTCTTTAGAGAAGACCAGGAAATGATGGATACACGGATCGTGTTCAAATCAATAGGCACGCAATGACTCTAAAGAATAATGATCACGAACCAAACACACATTCAGACTAAAGGAATTTGTTATGGTGTTGCAGCCAATACTGCGCTGTATCCTTGGCCTAAGATAACAGGAATGTTTTTTTTCCTCAGTAATGTAATTTAAAAAATTGAAACTAAGTTACTGAAACAAATTTGGTTAATAAAAACAAATGGCAACAATTATTAAGAAATCAAATAAAAACAACATTTGGCTTCATAAATTATTTATTTATTAACCCAAACTGAATTTAGGTTGATGGTAAAATTAACTAAAATTGCAACAAAGTAATTGACACAAAATGATGTTATTAATACAAAAAACAATAACGGTATTTTATGTTTTTTAGTGCGCTATGACTTTATACTAAACTGAAGAATTTTAAATCTTGAACACTGTCTTTGTTCAACAACTGGCCCCAGCACGGCTGTCCCAGTAAAGTTGGTCCAGAACCACCATTGCTCCATTTCAGAAATGTCTAGCTGTTGGCCACATGCTCAAAAAAGCCCTCTGGTTTCTAATTCCTGCACTGCCTTACAGGTGATTCTGGTGGAGCTGGAAGAGATCACCCCTGCTCAGCTGGCCCTCTTCCCAGAGTCGGTGCGTCACCTGAGGAAGAAGCAGGGCGCCGTGTGTTGGTGGAAGAACCAGAGCAGGGCGGGAAGATGGAGGACATGTATGAGGACGAAAGAGGACGAGGAGAAAGGTGGACAGTTATCGCAAACACTCTCCCCTTCCTCCAGGTTTTGGAAGGAGATGAGGTACCATATGCCGGTAAAGGGCAAGAGGGCGATGTGCCCCGAGAAAGCGACCCTGTTGAACGTGTGATGAGGTCATGAGAGTATCTCGATTCCAATGTAAATGTGTATTGATCCTCTGAACAGAGAGACAATTAAGAAATGCTGTGTTGTCACAACAAGCTGAGGATACATGCTGAGAACCAAAAGGTACTCTTTAGCAGTGCTCGACTCCAACTTTTGGTACCTGGTATTTTTCTGCTGCAGATAAAATACTCTTAGTAATTAGTTGTTGAAGCTTGACACTGGGACATTCGCTGAACGCAAACAAAAAGGAACGTCTGCGATTCGCCGACGATATACCTTAATGCCACGCTAAGGGACGATTATTTCTGGCCAATCCGTGGTCTGCAGTGTTTTCATCACGCTACGAAGGTGGTGCCAATATAACGCTGCGTTCCCTTTCCGTTGGAAGTTGGAGGTCGGGACTAGGAGTGACGTCACATCTGAGTCGACTGCGTTTCAGTAGCACATGTTGGAAAAGATGGACGGAAAGTTATTTGCCTTGATGTAACTACTCTTTTTTGTTGTATTTTGTCAACACAAACATCGTAGCAGCATATCCACAGATAGAATATGAGCAGTACCAAATGTACAGTTGATTTAATGTGACACAAATAATACAGAAGAGCTAAAAAATGTTATTTATCAAAGAGGATCTCAGGTATATTGAGGTATCTCCCAGTTTCCGAGGTAGGAAGTCCGACCTCAGGGGGCGTTACAGTGGAAATGTCTGACTGTGAACACGGATACTCCCACTTCCCAGTACAACTTGAACGCACCATAAGTACCTGGTACTATCTGCAACTTTTCCAAATGGAAGACCAAACAATAGCAAGTTGTGTTGAGTAGCAGTGGGAACACTGCAACTATCACCAGAGCAACTTATAACAAAAGTTGTATTGAGTAAAAATTCATCAAGAGCATCTCATATTTGACTTGAAGATCGTCGGAGTTCACCAGCATCTGTAAATGCACTTGAATAATGTGGTTCAAAGGAATGATCGAAATGATCTTGTTTCACTGTAAAGTGTACAGATGTATGAGGACAAATTGAAATATGTAAAAAGAAACAAAAAAGAAACATGCATTTATTAAAGGCACATTTGATGCAGCAATGTTAAACTGTTCGAAGCAGAATACAAAGCATATAGGAGCTTGACTGTGTTGTCAATAAATGGACATGTTGTAAAGAGAACGTATGTGGAAGGCTTCTTACATGTTGACGTTGTGTGTGAGATCCACATGTTCAAGCCCACAGCTACTTCTTTCAGGTTTTGGGTGATAACTTTCCATGAGGTTGTATTCAGCGCTGTTGAGCAGTTGTCCCTCTCATGTAAAAAAACAAGATGGTGACAGCCAAAATGCCAAAGTCAAGGCTTCAAAACTGCAGTCCATAAATCCATTAGGTGAACTGACGGTGAATATGTCCACTTATTGTATACAGTGTATGATTTTCATACATAGTTGTTAGCTTCACTAAAAGCTGGTCCTGCCTTTAAAGATACCCAGTGTTTCCCCTATACAAATAGCAGTCCAGCTGGCTGGCTGCTAGGGGGCGCCAGCCAGGTACCAAAAAAAAACCTTTTTATAAAATAATAATAAGTGGTGACCCTTTTTGATTTTTGATTGTTTGTTATGTGGATTTGTATTTGTATGTTCAATAAAGGTGTATTTTTCGAAATCTTGAGACATTGCCACTGTATGTATGTACTAGGCCTCAAGAGCCTTTCTTGTGCTGGCAGACACATAGAAACATATTGGCGGGGTGCACTTCGCACTCGTACACACTCAAAAATTCCACGCGCTCCGCCCTCACATTGTGCTGGGCCCGCGTGCCGTAGCACCGCTGCTATGACTCCATCCTAGGGGAAACACTGATACCACTGTTGACCCAAGGTGTCATAGCTTTCATAGCATTTTTTTTATAAATGATATGAAGATATAAAATCAACAAAGCAAAGAAACGGCAAACCTAGATATGAAAAGGATACTCTGAATGAAGTAATGTCTCACGTTGTAAGGGTTACTGGTGAGCAGGTCTGTGGAATCATGGCTTTTTTGTTTTAATGTAATGTTTTCTAAACTTGACAAAAGTTTGTGATGGATTAACTTGAAGTATCAGGAAAGAGATGTGGAGAATTTAACAATCCATGATGGCTTGAATAAGAAAAAGTGATATCTTATGAGTTTCTCAGGTATGCCTTGCACAATGATAAACGATGTCTTTATTGCTTTAGGTAAACATGCAACTGACACTTTCATAACTGAAGCAATTGAGGTCTGATGGCCTATATTTGAACAAGAGCTCTATTTCTGCTGAGGATAAAAAATGTTGCGGTGCGAATAAAATGCAAAACGAGTGGTACGTTTTTTATGTAGGGTGGAAATATAATGCAGGCGTTGGAGGAACAGTTTGATATGATGTGCAGTCTGGAGGAGGGAAAGCCCAGTAGCTCTGAAGAAGGTTAGTAAGAAGGAGCCGTCTTTGAGCTACAACTCTGCCTGGTAAGTTATAATTATAATCAAAAATAGAGTGGAAGTATGTTGTTTTTTATTAGTGCTTGGAAATATATACGATATCAGTATTGAGACTCAGTATCCGCTTAGATTTTGGATAGCGTTATATTGTAACGAGGAATAAATATAGACCTTTCCTGGACTTAAAGGCTGCATTACAGTAAATGTGATGTTATTTTCAGGACTTACCAGACTTTTTTATTATTCATAATATCAACATTACTGATGATTATTTATAAAAATCTTCTTGTGTAAATAATTTGTGAAAGTACCAATGGTCAACTCAACACTATTTCTGCAATATAATTATTGGTCCAATATATATATATGTAATGTATACATATGCAGTATAGGTATATATACAGAGTAGGGCAGCAAGATTTGAAAAAAATGTAGGTAATGATTATTTTAAAACGATTATTCACATAATCGCTAAAAAAGTTTATTAAAACCATCATGGCGTTAGTCAGAGGTGGGAGAAGTACTCAGATCTTGTACTTGAGTAAAAGTAGAAGTACTCAGATCTTGTACTTGAGTAAAAGTAGAAGTACTCAGATCTTGTTCTTAAGTAAAAGTAGAAGTACCAGAGTGTAGGAATACTCTGTTACAGTAAAAGTCCTGCATTCAAAATGTTCCTCAAGTGAAAGTAGAAAAGTATTCTCATCAAAATATAGTGAAAGTAGCGACAGTAAAAGTAGTCATTGTGCAGATTGGTCCATTTCAGAATAATATATATGATATGTTTTATAATGATTGATCATGAAAGTGTTCTTAAAGCTGGTAAAGGTGCAGCTAGTTTGAAGTACTTTGTATACTGCAGGGTAGCTGGTGGATTTACTCCAGGTGGAACTAAAGTCTGATTTAACACTTGATTATATTTCACATCATTCATCCACATCTGTGAAGTAACTAAAGGTATAAATACATGTAGTGGAGGAAAAGTACACCATTTACCTCTGAATTGTAGTGGAGTAGAAGTACAAAGTAGCATAACATGTAAATACTCAAGTAAAGTACAAGTACCTCAAACGTTTACTTAAGTACAGTACTTGAGTAAATGTACTTAGTAACTTTAAACCACTGGTGTTAGTTTTTTGGATCTAATCAAAACTATTTATTGAATGAATTTGAATACTGCACTAGAACATATTGCGATTTCAATAACATTTTTTGATTCATTTTTGGCAACTCAAATACACAGTATAATATTTGTACGCATTTTCCGAGAAACTGACTTCCTATTGACTCATTGAATCATTGTGTTGCAAATTAACTTGGATAACTATATTATATATGCTCTGATATGTCAGTGTCAGGGGGAAAACTAGTTATTATAAAAGATCCTACAACCTTTAAAGTACCCAGTTGTTATCTATTGACCATTAAATAGCTTTCAAGGATTAAATGTGCAATTCAATGGTGACATAAAAAGACTTGCTATGTGTGTTTATAGCCTGTAAGATTTTATTAAAAAAGTACAGCACAAAAGACAAATAAGTCATACCTTACCCAGATTGCCATTTCCTCCAGGCTAAATATAAATATCCGAGTAAGTCCATGTCTCAGCAGCAGAATAAGAAAGGACCGTACTGCATATTTGGAATTGCTTTAAAAAAAAATGACAACCAGTTGAACCTGGTCATTAAAATAGAAAGAAAATGTAGATCAATAGTATGAGATAGTTTGACTAGAGGTAGGCGGAGAAAGAGAGAGCTCCTTTAAATCTTTGACCTCTTCCACACCCACTCCTGTCAGTGGAACTTCCTGGGATTTTACTGGGAGTGTTTTGGCCTGCCTTCCTTGTGTGAGCAGCGCCTCTCACTTCCCTTTATTGGAAGTTGTTCAACTCAGCCCCGTCAGGAAATGTGCCAAGAAATCTTGTCTTATGCAGAGCGTCAGAGTGGCTGAAAACATCATGTCTGAGAAATCAAAGGGGACTTTAATGAAATGTATCCTGTCTTTATCCACACACAAGGACAATGACAGCAGCCGGATGGGTCATCTTGCTGTCTGTCACATTCACCGTGGCACAAAGTGAGTATTTGTTTATCGTCTCTTTCTTCCATTCTTTAAAGATTTAAAAGCTTCTGGAAATCATTTCTAAGAACCAGACACTGGCTGATTTACAGGAAATGTACAACACAAAAGCGTTTGACTTGTGTTGGGTGTTGATTTGAAATATTTGCTGACTGTAAGCATTTTCAGTTTCAAGTCCTTCTTCAAGACAAGGACTTCTATGGATTGTGGTGAAAAATTAACACTTTTAAAGACAGTATGATTACCGAACCTGAAAAGTATATAGTAGAAAGTAGAGTGACACAGTTAATAAGACAGGTTAATATGAAGGAGTACACGTCCGTAGGTGTGTTGCAACACTGCTTTTCCTGTTTATAACTTGTTCAGAGGAGTCGGCAGACTTGAGAAACAGGCTTGACATTGAGAATGACTCAAAATTGAGGTATCCAGAACATATTGCCTGCCTTTTTTACAAAGGAAAAACACACTTATAATCTTAGAATTTAATTGAAAAGTGTCATCATGAAGTATACATATTATCACCACAAAAAAGTTACCCATGGGCAACCCAGTTACAACTTACATTTGAATTAGTCTAAAGGTTAGTTACACCCTTTTACTGCTGAAGCCATAATTACGTCACAGGGTTATCTAGAGGCCAAACAAAGGGGAGAGGCAAACACAGATCACCTAAGAGAAGTAAGCTTAAAAAACAACATGTCCTTTACTGTGCTGCTGCATGCCATAGGGATGGGAAAGATTAATCGAATATTCAAAATTATTCAGGTATTCGAATATGAGAATATGAGTTATGAATATATAATCTTTTTTTTGGGAGGGGTGCCTAAGTTGATTACATATTATCAAATTGAATAATTCAATGTATATATATATATATATATACGACAGTGCTATAGCTAAGTGTGTTAGGTCTAAAGGTGTGTTTTGCTCCGCTCACCGGTCCCTCACCGCTGTGAGCTGCTGGTGCTGATCCCTCTCTCGCGTCCGGTTATACTTCACTCGCGTTTATGTCCAAATCCATCAGATCTAGCTAGTTCTAGCCAATGATATGGCTGCTGCCCCTCCCTACACGCAGATCACGCAGACTCAAACCTCATCTTATAGCTGAGAGGGTCTCCTCTACAGCTGGCCTGTATCGCACCCGCCTCTCCCCTGAGCATGCTCATATTCTTAAACAAGAATGAGTATTGAATAGCTGCATTCTGTGCATAGCCCTGTTATAGGTTGTTGATCTCTGTTGTCACGGGTTACGTTACCCCGTTATGTTGTTCGTGTATGATCCCTCTTTAATTTAAAAAACAAGTTGTGTTTTAAGCATGAAAGCTGTAGGCCTATAGCTGTCAACTGTTCAAACTGTGATCACCAGTTCAACACATTTGACATTTCTATACTTATTTGAACATGTATTTATTTATTTTATTTTTTATTTTGTCGACATTTTTCCCATATGTTTTTATTTGTATAGGATATGTACATTTCGGTTAATCGGTTAACAGTTTTTTGGGGGGTCGAATATTCGAATATACATTTGCTTTCAAATTCCCATCCCTAGTAGGTATAGGTGATTAGGTATGTATATAAAGTTATGTCTGTGTCCTCTCATTTTCTACAATAACCATAGGTAAGATACGAGGTTTGACATTAATCATGGACCAGTGAGCCGCGACAATGTTTACTTTTGCAATGTGTCCTAACTAACCGCTCGCCACATGCAACTGTAAGGTGTTTCTATATACATTTTCCTGTTACTTGTTCTAAGAGCAACTCAATTGACAAGGAACGGCTAACGCCTAGGGAAGGTTCAATTGACTTCATTTGAAGAGATCTATTCAGTGCTCTGTGACTTTATCACATTCTGGTGATAATGTTAGTTCTTTTGTTAAGTCTTATAATGGTAGGGAAACACTGTTGTGTGTGTCACCAAACGTTGGTGTCTTCATTTCTATGTAAAAAAAACACATTTAAGATAATCAACCATCCTAAACCAGGCTGCAAAAAACACTAACATGATGCATTATAGCACATTTGTCTCCTATCGGGCTATCGGCCATCAATAGGACAATCTGAAAACATAAACAGCTGCCTAGCCAACAGGTTAGATACTGTATCTGTCTCAAAACGGGCCTCAAACTACATTTACCTCAAGATATAAAAAGATGTTGGAGTGGAAAAGTTTGTAAGGTGAGTATGTTCTTTCAGTCTGACACCTTTGTTTATTAAATAGGTCGAATAGTTAAGATTGAAACTTCAGAAAGTCCCTTGCTTGAAAGACGTCAGCATGGCATTAAAAAGGAAATTCTTCACCTAATGTTATGCAACACAGCGCACGCTTAACATAGGAGGCTTAAGATAGTTATTTAAAAGAAAGGTGAAACATAAGGTGTTTCCTTCAAAAGAACTTGGCTCAAACACTACAGAGCAAGAAATAGGAATCCTACCATTCTGAAACCATGTTGATATTCAAAGTTTGGTTTTACACACAACTAAGAGTGAAACCTGAACACAAATGAAGAGAAACACTATCCAGTAGGCCTTAAATCCATAGCTAGATAAACCATTAACATACATAGCCATCAAACAGATTGTGGCCTGTAGTCCTTATAGCCTACAGATAGTATAAAAAGCATTTTGTTGGACAACACACACACATTGCAGATGGCTGCCTCTAAATCAGCAGTGAACATTAGGCATTGCAAATATGTGTCCAAACAGGATTGACTCAGTGATGCAACATGCTCAGGTAAACCAGACTGTAACCATCCATCCTCTGCTGAAGACTTTAGACTTCCTGTGAACAGTCATAAAGCATGCTGGGATTTCCAGTCCAAACCCTACTATAGCAAACTGTCTGCCTACTATCAAACCTGAATTGCACCGTTGCCTACAGATCTGTAATCCAAAACTAGATGTAACCTAACAAACAAAGCAGTACAACAATACCTATGGCGCAAATACGTGAAATAAACCCTACAGCAAGCAGATGGCAGCAAAACATGAGACTTAGGAAAAGCTTCTGCATACAATTGCAGTTACATTTGACGGATACATCAATCAAAATGAACAATGAGATCAACAATAAAAAAGACTTTTTGCACATAAAAATACATTTCATAAGAATCCAAAGCAAGTCAATATCACAGTGTGTTTAGAAAGTAACATCACATTAACAGCTAGCTAGCTATAGCCTATCTCTTAAGGATTCTCGAAAGTAAATCTCCCGCTCTCCCAGCAAGTCACACACACACACAAACACATTCCCCCAGGGCCAAATAACTGCAGCAAACACACACAAAGCTGGCTGAAAGTCAGCTGTCTGTCTTACCTGGGGTTTCATAGCCCTCCTGTGTGCAGAGGTATCCACCGCCATGTTACTCCCCAGGCTCCTCAGACAACTCTTTACTTGCATCGATATCAAATCCAACCCTGGGTAACTTTGCCGTTTTCATCCTCCAAATATGTAGTTTAACAATCACCTTACTTTATCCAAATGTTTTTGCCGCGTGTTTCTTAATTTGCTTCGGTTTTACAACGAGCCTGTGGCCTGTTTTCTTAACTTCAGTTTTTGCACATGCTCGTAATGTTGCATCCATGGATAAGATAGCCCCAGTGTTGCCAGATCTCGTGAGAAAAACAAGCAAAGTATACATAATCAGAGGTGGGAAGTAAAGTACATTACTCAAGTAGCCTACTGTACTTAAGTAAACTTTTGAGGAACTTGTACTTTACTTGAGTATTTACATGTTATGCTACTTTGTATTTCTACTCCACTACAGTTCAGAGGTAAATTGTGTACTTTTCCTCCACTACATGTATTTAATACCTTCAATTACTTCACAGATGTGGATGAATGATGTGAAATATAATCAAGTGTTGAATCAGACTTTAGTTCCACCTGGAGTAAATCCACAAGCTACCCTGCAGTATACAAAGTCATTCAAACTAGCTGCACCTTCACCAGCTTTGAGAACACTTTCATGATCAATCATTATAAAACATATCATATCTATTATTCTGAAATGGACCAATCTGCACAATGACTACTTTTACATTTGGTACTTTCACTTTATTTTGATGATAATACTTTTCTACTTTTACTTCAGTAACATTTTGAATGCAGGACTTTTACTGTAACAGAGTATTCCTATACTCTTGTACTTCTACTTGTACTCAAGTACAAGATCTGAGTACTTCCACTTTTACTCAAGTACAAGATCTGAGTACTTCTACTTTTACTCAAGTACAAGATCTGAGTACTTCTACTTTTACTCAAGTACAAGATCTCAGTACTTCTCCCACCTCTGATTAAAATAATAATAATAAAATAATCATAGAAGAAGCCTGAAATTGGTCTTTATTCATTCAAAAACACATTTCCCGATCAAAATAACTTACTGCTCCTTGAAAAGGCCATTAACTATTTGTATTTAATTTAATTATGTTTCAAAAGTGCTGATTCTCTGTCTGTTACTTTAGATGAAAATAAGGAGACAGAAGAGACATGAACAAGTGGATTTTGCATAACAGGTGACCTTTAATGACTTGTCCCCCCTTGCACTGTCCCATGCAGAACTCAGTGGGGAGGCAGACACCTACCATGTGAGTGCTGGTTACCTCTTTGTGCTGCGGTGCCCGCCTGAAGACAAACACACCAACGTGACGTGGAGCCGAGGGGGGGGGCACAACCTGAGCCTCCCGTCCGGAGTGGAGGTCATCGACGGGTTACTCTGGTTCCTACCTGTGCAGATGTCTCATAATGGATCGTATACCTGTGAGAAATGGTAAAAGAACCTTTTTTGTGTGACGAAGTAGATTAGACTGAATCTGAATCTAAATGTGTGAAGTATAGCCTTGGGTTTTAATATTTTGTCCACTTAAATGATATCAACAATCGAGCCTAATGAGATCTTACGGCAGATCTCATCTCTGTATTTCCCAAACTGAGGGTCTTAAAGAGGCCCTATTATGCTTTTTGGGTTTCATTTTCTATGTAAATGGTATTCAAAGGCTAACATCCCTGTGTTCCCTCTAAAAAACACCTCCATTGGACTCCTTTATTTACTTCCTGAACATAGTGACATCATTATGTAACATTCACGCTTCTACTGGCTGGCGCTCCAACACATGGTTTGTGATAGGCTAAGGGGCGGGACATCTCTAAGCGGTTGACCAATCACAACAAAGACGGTCAGCTAACCAATCAGAGCAGACTGGGCTCTGGTTTCAGACAGAGGGTGACAAATAAAGAGCTTTTTGAACATTAAAGCATGGAGACATGTCACAGTGGAGACACAATTATGAACCCAAAGATTAACAAAATAAGGCCCCTTTAAGATTTTAGAATCAGTATAACATCATATTTTAAATCTCTTTTCCAGAAATCTCTTTTCAAAAGAGTCTTAAGCACTCTGCTTATTTTCAAACTTGTCTAATTTGTTAATTTATCTGATTTTAACAGGCCTGAGTCCTGTAATGTTTTTAGTCTTGGCTCCAACCCCGTAAAGCATTTAGTAACTTTATTTTGAAAGGCTCTTTACAAATACAGTTGTATTTATTTATTCATCATTATGGATTCAAAGTCAAACTAAATAATGGAACATCTATCTATAACTGTCTTCTAATCATTCCTCCAGTAATTGTCTTTGTTAGTTGTTTTTTTCTTCAAATAAACAAGATGTGTGCAGTTGTATTGATGGAGTTGGCCTGTCCTGCATCTCCCTCACAGTTTATTTCCTCTTCAGGGGTGAGGCTGGTGTGACCATCGGGCTGTCAGTGTCCAGTGAAAAGTGTCCTGAAGTTCCTGAGACCATAGTCATCACTGCGGGAGTCAATGATGGTGTTCCCTGCAAACAGACAGAGATTTTCAATCTGAAAACCACAACGAATACACGATGGCTGAAGGTATGCACAGATCCATGTGTTTTTTAAATGCATTGTTATGTGCTCGATGTTTATTTTCTTTGAACTTAGTTCTTAAAGGTGGGGTATGTAATTTATTTCAGAAACACTTGTTGTTATATTCCATGGAATGCTCTTAACATCCCGATAGCAATGAATATATTAAATGCTTTGACGATAAATCCATCTGTGGAAGCCGTGGCGCTGTAAAAAGCACGACCAATCATCTGAGCAATAACTGGATGGCCTACCTGCCTGTCAGCCTTCCATCTGTGCACAAATGTATCTCGTGCCCTCATTGGTCATGTGCGCGTTCGTGTGTGTTGGAGGAGGAGGGAGAGGCAGATTTTTCAAATTCTAGCGCACTCGCGTTGGTTTCTCCACAATTACATACCCCACCTTTAAATTAGTACAAATTACCAATCAGTGAAAGCATAGAAATGAAAAGAGCAACTAAAATAAATAAATAAACGTTGTCCCCCATTTTTAGGGACAACATTTATTCTTTAATCATGGTTTAAAAACACAAAACGTTTTGGGATTACTGCATCATGTCCTGTACGTTATTGCTTGAAAAATGCAACACTGCCCCCTGTTGTCCACATCAGGAACATGTATACCAAACATCTTCCTAAACTATATGTACAGTACAGTAGATCATAAAACAATTGTACGTGTATTATCAAGCTTATTTTTGTAGTATATACTATATACTAAAACAGTGTAAAAATCATTTGTGGTTTTATGGGAGCGTTCAGTTATTATGCTCCAAATATCTGGAACAAACTCCCAGAAACCTGCAAGTCCGCTGCAACCACTACTTTTAAATCCAGGCTAAAGACTTTTCTTTTTGCCGCTGCTTTTAATTGAACTATTCATATCTTAAACTGCACTGTAACTTTTTATTCATGTATTTTTTATTCATGTATTTTTTCTTTTAATGTTTCTTTTATTATCTTTTCTTTTTAATGACTGTTTTTAAATGCCTTTGTCTGAATGTCTTTCATGTTTGTAAAGCACCTTGAATTGCCTTGTGACGGAGCCCACGCACAATAAGGGGCACACTCTGGACTTAATTATCTCAAAGGGTGTGAATATCTCTAAGGTTGTGGTGACTGATGTTGCACTCTCTGACCATTCCTGTGTTTTCTTTGAGAGCTCTATTTCTGTTCACAAAAATGTTCAAAAAGAGGTAACCACAAAGCGATATTTAACTGAAAATACTAGGGAAATGTTTACTCAGAATTTCTCTTCCACACTTGCCCCTGCTAACATCTCAGTAAATGAGCTAGTAGATCATTTTAATTCAAAAATTAAAAATGTTATAGATGCCATTGCTCCAACTAAGGTAAAGGAAGTGTCTGGCAAGAAAATATCTCCATGGAGAAAGGCCATGAGCGTGAAAACAGAAAAAAGAGAATGTCGAAAAGCTGAACGCAGGTGGCGAAAAACAAATCTCCAGGTTCACTTTGAAATCTATAAAGAGAGACTTGGCCTTTATAATTTGGAATTGAAAAACGCACAACAATCGTTCTTCTCTGACATCATTACCAAAAACAAAAACAACGCACGTGCCTTGTTTGCTACCGTCGACAGACTAACTAACCCCCCAGTGTCAGTAGCCTCTGAATTTCTATCCACCAGGGCGTGCAATGATTTTGCCTCCTTCTTCACTGACAAAATTCAGAACATCAGACAAGCAGTCAGTGCCTCTGCATCAGGAACAGCAAATGTGTTGTTTCTGTGTCCACCTAACATCAATTCAGACATCATGACACAATTCCATCAGATTAATGATAAAAACCTAGAGGACATTATTCAACTTCTGAAATCCTCCTCCTGCTGCCTTGATATTATTCCAACAGGATTTTTCAAAGATGTTTTGCCTTGCATGGCCTCAGATCTACTTCATATAGTAAACAAATCTCTTCACTCAGGTATTTTTCCACAGGCCCTGAAAACTGCAGTCATTAAACCGCTCTTAAAAAAGAATAATCTAGATGCTTCAGTAATGAACAATTACAGGCCCATATCAAACCTCCCATTTCTAGGTAAAATCATTGAAAAAGTTGTTTTTCAACAGTTGAGTAATTTCTTGCATTTAAATGGCTGTTTTGATGTGTTCCAGTCAGGCTTTCGTCCAAACCACAGCACTGAGACTGCTCTTGTAAAGGTCTTTAATGACATCCACTTAAACACAGACAGTGGCAGAACTTCAGTGTTAGTATTATTAGATCTCAGTGCTGCGTTTGACACTGTTGACCACAGCGTATTACTAGACCGACTGGAAAACTGGGTGGGACTTTCGGAAACAGTTCTAAATTGGTTTGAATCCTACTTAAAGGACAGAAACAACTTTGTTTCTATAGGTAAATACACATCTGAGTTGACAAATATGACATGTGGGGTTCCTCAAGGCTCCATCTTGGGGCCTCTTCTCTTTAACATCTACATGCTACCACTGGCTCAGATAATGAAAAACAACAAAATAAGTTACCATAGCTATGCAGATGACACACAAATTTACGTAACAATTTCACCAGGAGACTATGCTCCAATTCAAACACTGAGTAAGTGCATTGAACAAATCAATGACTGGATGTGTCAGAACTTTCTCCAATTAAACAAAGATAAAACTGAGGTAATGGTTTTTGGAGCCAAGTCAGAACGTATAAAAGTTAGCGCTGAGCTTCAGTCTGCAATGTTCAAAACAACAGATAAAGCCAGAAATCTAGGTGTAGTCATGGACTCTGACCTGAGTTTCAACAGTCACATTAAAACAGTTACTAAATCAGCCTACTATCACCTAAAGAATATATCTAGGATTAAAAGACTAATGTCACAGCAGGATTTGGAAAAACTTGTCCATGCTTTTATCTTCAGTAGACTCGACTACTGCAATGGTGTCTTTACAGGTCTCACTAAAAAATCTATTAGGAAGCTGCAGCTGATTCAGAACGCTGCTGCTCGAGTCCTCACTAACACTAAGAAAGTGGATCACTCCTGTTCTGAAGTCTTTACACTGGCTTCCTGTGTGTCAAAGAATAGATTTCAAAATACTGCTGCTGGTTTATAAAGCACTGAATGGTTTAGGCCCAAAATACATTTCTGACCTCCTACTAAATTATGAACCATCCAGATCTCTCAGGTCTTCAGGGACTGGTCAGCTTTCTGTCCCCAGAGTTAGAACTAAACATGGTAAAGCAGCATTCAGTTATTATGCTCCAAATATCTGGAACAAACTCCCAGAAACCTGCAGGTCCGCTGCAACTCTGACTACTTTTAAATCCAGGCTGAAGACTTTTCTTTTTGTTGCTGCTTTTAATTGAACTATTCATATCTTAGACTGCACTGTAACTTTTATCCATGTACTTTTTTTCTTTTAATGTTTAATTGACTGCACTGTAACTTTTATCCATGTATTTTTTCTTTTAATGTTTATTTTATTAGCTTTTCTTTTTAATGCCATTTTCTTAATCTCTTTCATTTTTTGTAAAGCACTTTGAATTGCCTTGTGTTGAAAAGTGCTATATAAATAAACTTGCCTTGCCTTGCCTTGCCTTGCCTTGCCTTGCCTTGCCTTGCCTTGCCTTGCCTTGCCTTGCCTTGCCTTGCCTTGCCTTGCCTTGCCTTGCCTTGCCTTGCCTTGCCTTGCCTTGCCTTGCCTTGCCTTGCCTTGCCTTGCCTTGCCTTGCCTTGCCTTGCCTTGTGTTGAAAGGTGCTATATACATAAACTTGTCTTGCCTTGCCTAGGTTGTCTCATCAAGGCATACAACTGTGTCTTTGTCTCACCCATAAAACAGGTCCCCTTTTGTTCAAATTATGTGTTTGCTTTTACTGTCATTCAATTTAAATGTATTGCTTTGTATGAGGCACTTACATTTTTTGGAAAGTGCTCTTTAAAGAGGCCCTATTCTGCAAATGATTAGGTTTCACATTATGTATTTAGTGTCTAGATGTGACATGTCTCCATGCTTTAATGTTCAAAAAGCTCTTTTTTTTCTCACACTGCCTGGGCTGCAGCACCTCTTTTCACCCTCTGTCTGAAACCAGACTGCTACAGGAAAGGGAAAACCTCAAAAAGAATAAAAGGGCCCTCTTTAAATAAAATCTTGTCCTTATCCTCACTCCAGGACTGCAAACCACTGCGGGGGAGCATCTCTGTAGAGGAGCGTGGCTTAATGAGACTGAATGGATCCTCAGAGAGCGATGCTGGGAATTATACCTGCATGGTAGACGTCACCTTCAACGGCAGGAAGTTCACGGCGGCACGCAGCATACGGTTGACTTTCACAAGTAAGTACTGAAGGTCACTCCAGCCTGAAGATATGTCCTTATATCCTGATGATTAGACATCAATATGCTTTTGTTTTTATCAAGAGAACTTTTTCATTATTATGTAAATGTTCTATATTATTAGTGATGCCATTTATCTGAAAAATAAAACTGTATTTCAAAAGTTAAGGATTATCCCTTACACAACATGCTTATATTTTGGGTTGTGAAAGTCAATAAGTAACACTCATTTCTCTGATTTACCCGTGGCTCCTTCTCAAAGATGACTGGCCTTTCCTTCTTATTGTGTTTTCTTTTACAATGATTATCTGTCTTTAGCGATTGGAACGGTGATTAGAACCAAGCCTAAGGTGATTTACCCTCAACAGGAAGTGGTCGTGGTTAAAGAGGGTAAGTGTCACTCTTTAAAAAATTCAGACTAACACACACATACTGTATGTCTCTCAGGTCTGAGATGTGTCATCTACTGAAAATATCACTGTCACTTATAACAATAAGGAAAACAATTCCAACCTTAGATTGAGCTTTCTTTCTGAGCGTTAACTTGTCAGACATCTTTAATTCCTAATGATAGGAGGAGGAACCCCTAATGGGACATGGACAGAAAAACTAAAACAACTAGTGAGCGTGAGAAACATTATTTGTTTAGTTGCTTTTGTCCATGTCAACTTACGAGTCTTTTTTAAATGTAAAAGTATTCAAGGACTTATTTCAGCCACTTATTACAGTGAATGTAAAGAGTTCCTCTCCTCTCAGCTATGATGAGCTGCTCTTTTCTCTCTCTGATGTCCAGGTATGGCAGCGGAGGTGAAATGTAAAGCCTACATCGGCATTAGTGAGGAGAACGACACCTACATGTATTGGACTATCGACAACGTTTCGACTGACGATTTTACGCAGCTCAGTGATTCCTGGGAATCGTGAGTTTTGTTTTTCCCATTATGTTGTTTCATGAAGACCATGTTCAGGATGCTGTAAATCAAAACCAGTTGAGCCCAAAAACCTTCTTGATTAGTTGTAAAATCACAAAATTACCAACACTAATTTGTTTAGTAATTAAATAAGACTCAATGAGCACGTTTCTTGGATAAGTAAAAACATGAGGCAACAAACTCGAATACTTTTGTACACGGGAAATATTCTGTGGATGTTCAGGTTCATATCAGTATATAGTGTCTCTACTTTAAAGAGTCCTCTCCTGCTGATGTTCAGGTGTATATCAGTATGTAGTGTCTCTACTTTAAAGAGTCCTCTCCTGCTGATGTTCAGGTGTATATCAGTATATAGTGTCTCTACTTTAAAGAGTCCTCTCCTGCTGATGTTCAGGTGTATATCAGTATGTAGTGTCTCTACTTTAAAGAGTCCTCTCCTGCTGATGTTCAGGTGTATATCAGTATGTAGTGTCTCTACTTTAAAGAGTCCTCTCCTGCTGATGTTCAGGTGTATATCAGTATGTAGTGTCTCTACTTTAAAGAGTCCTCTCCTGCTGATGTTCAGGTGTATATCAGTATGTAGTGTCTCTACTTTAAAGAGTCCTCTCCTGCTGATGTTCAGGTGTATATCAGTATGTAGTGTCTCTACTTTAAAGAGTCCTCTCCTGCTGATGTTCAGGTGTATATCAGTATCTAGTGTCTCTACTTTAAAGAGTCCTCTCCTGCTGATGTTCAGGTGTATATCAGTATGTAGTGTCTCTACTTTAAAGAGTCCTCTCCTGCTGATGTTCAGGTGTATATCAGTATGTAGTGTCTCTACTTTAAAGAGTCCTCTCCTGCTGATGTTCAGGTGTATATCAGTATGTAGTGTCTCTACTTTAAAGAGTCCTCTCCTGCTGATGTTCAGGTGTATATTAGTATGTAGTGTCTCTACTTTAAAGAGTCCTCTCCTGCTGATGTTCAGGTGTATATCAGTATGTAGTGTCTCTACTTTAAAGAGTCCTCTCCTGCTGATGTTCAGGTGTATATCAGTATGGAGTGTCTCTACTTTAAAGAGTCCTTTCCTGCTGATGTTCAGGTGTTTATCCATATGTAGTGTCTCTACTTTAAAGAGTCCTCTCCTGCTGATGTTCAGGTGTATATCAGTATGTAGTGTCTCTACTTTAAAGAGTCCTCTTCTGCTGAAGTTCAGGTGTATATCAGTATGTAGTGTCTCTACTTTAAAGAGTCCTCTCCTGCTGATGTTCAGGTGTATATCAGTATGTAGTGTATCTACTTTAAAGAGTCCTCTCCTGCTGATGTTCAGGTGTATATCAGTATGTAGTGTCTCTACTTTAAAGAGTCCTCTCCTGCTGATGTTCAGGTGTATATCAGTATGTAGTGTCTCTACTTTAAAGAGTCCTCTCCTGCTGATGTTCAGGTGTATATCAGTATGTAGTGTCTCTACTTTAAAGAGTCCTCTCCTGCTGATGTTCAGGTGTATATCAGTATCTAGTGTCTCTACTTTAAAGAGTCCTCTCCTGCTGATGTTCAGGTGTATATCAGTATGTAGTGTCTCTACTTTAAAGAGTCCTCTCCTGCTGATGTTCAGGTGTATATCAGTATGTAGTGTCTCTACTTTAAAGAGTCCTCTCCTGCTGATGTTCAGGTGTATATCAGTATGTAGTGTCTCTACTTTAAAGAGTCCTCTCCTGCTGATGTTCAGGTGTATATCAGTATCTAGTGTCTCTACTTTAAAGAGTCCTCTCCTGCTGATGTTCAGGTGTATATCAGTATGTAGTGTCTCTACTTTAAAGAGTCCTCTCCTGCTGATGTTCAGGTGTATATCAGTATGTAGTGTCTCTACTTTAAAGAGTCCTCTCCTGCTGATGTTCAGGTGTATATCAGTATGTAGTGTCTCTACTTTAAAGAGTCCTCTCCTGCTGATGTTCAGGTGTATATCAGTATGTAGTGTCTCTACTTTAAAGAGTCCTCTCCTGCTGATGTTCAGGTGTATATCAGTATCTAGTGTCTCTACTTTAAAGAGTCCTCTCCTGCTGATGTTCAGGTGTATATCAGTATGTAGTGTCTCTACTTTAAAGAGTCCTCTCCTGCTGATGTTCAGGTGTATATCAGTATGTAGTGTCTCTACTTTAAAGAGTCCTCTCCTGCTGATGTTCAGGTGTATATCAGTATGTAGTGTCTCTACTGGGACATGTCTCCATGCTTTAATGTTCAAAAAGCTCTTTATTTTTCTCATACTGCAGCACCTCTTTTCACCCTCTGTCTGAAACCAGAGTGCAGTCTGCTCTGATTGGTTAGCTGGCTGGCTCTGTTGTGGTTGGTCATCCGCTTAGAGATTTTCCTCCTCTTAGCCTATCACGTACAATGTGTCGGAGTGCTAGCCAATAGGATTGCAAGTATTACAAAGTTATGTCACTATTTCACGAAAGTAAGCAAAGGAGTCCAATGGAGGCGTTTCAGGCAGGGGGGAGTTTGTGGGAGAGAAACTTCCTCTGGAGAGAACTTTGGGATTGTAGCCTTTGTAGACCATTTACATGCACAAAAAACCTATTATCAAACTACAGGAAAGGGAGAACCCCAAAAACCATAAGCAGAATAATCGGGGGAAAAAAGCATGAAGAAGAAATGTTTCCTTCTTTATTATTCGAACTGATCGATAACTGTATGACTGTTCCTTTTCCTTCAAGTTTTCAGGAGGGTGACAGAGTGTACTACGGTTTGTCCACCCTGTCCATCTCAGAAGTTCACCGTCAGTTCATCAACGTCCCCATTTCCTGCTGCGTACGGACCACTCTTGAACGTACATGTGGTATGGCGTGGCTTCAAGAAGGTATTTGTTTCTCTTTTTCTCCATTTCTATCAATAATTACACACAAATATCAGAGACAATGCCGACCCAAAGGAATTTGAAACTAAGCAACACATTAAAACACAAATGGTTTCAGCTGTGACATACATTACTTTTGGATAGATACTATATGTGGACCCAAATCGTTTTTCAATCAGGAGAGACGTGATGTATGGAATACATGTTTATTATCGGTCACATTATATAAATGAAACATAATGATGACAGTTCATAACAAGTGAATGAAATGGTGTTTGGCGATTAGGCCCAGGTTTTGTAGGATATCAATCGGGAAGGGAAGAACCGTTTCCGATGAACCCCCCTGGGTCTAGACACTGGTGGTGGTGATAAGTGGTTAGGTCCGGTTGGAAGGGAGAAGGTTAAGCTTGGCCCTGAGTTGGAGGCAGGAGGCGAAGGGGTGGAGGAGGGTTGCGCGTTGACACCTGGAAGACAGCTGATAGGAAAGGGGAGAGCATATATAGAGGGATTAACAGGTGCGATAATTAGGCTTGTGAATGGAGGGAAGTGATAGGTTAGCTAAGGAGTGGCGCTCCCTGTCATCTAGTGCAGTGCTTCTCAAACTTTTTTCAGTAGTGTACCCCCTTTGAAACATTTTCTCAGCCAAGAACCCCCTGACCGATCCCGAACATTTTTGATCGAAAAAGCCTATATAAATAATTACAATATAGTGATGTTCCCTCAGTGTGTGATGTATTAACTCCTTCGTGGTGCATTACAACAAACTAAGGATATTTTCATTTTATGCATGAAAAAAAATAACATATCCCTTTTATAAAACAGAGTTTTTCAATTTAAGTAATATGTTATTGTGAAAAACTATCAAATACAATACACACATTTGACATGTTGATATGAGGACCCCCTTGGTGGTTCTAGGAATGTTTTATATAAAATTGTGTTTTCTATTTAACTTATTTTACTAAGATTATTTTTTTAATTAACCCTTTTTTTTTTTTTTTTAAATCTCACGTACCCCCTGCAGTACCCCAACGTACTCCCAGGGGTCCGCGTACCTCCATTTGAGAATCACTGATCTAGTGAAGGGAGCGAGTATTGCCATGACGTGCAATACGGAGTGATAGGTCTTCCTGCCTGAACTTGCGCTAAGCTTCATGAAATACTTCTGAGTCTCGCCTGGAGAAAAACACACAGACTTTTTAGTGATTTTGCTTATTTTTGTTGTGATTGTGTGTCTTTGTAGTTGCTACACATCTCTGTGGTTTTATGTCTCTGTGTGGTCTTTTTGTATATTTTTGTTTGGTGTAATTGTTGTGGTTTCCTTTTCACAACTGTTGTGAAGCTCGTTGTGTCTCCTTGTACTTGTTTTAGTGTTTTTCAAGTCTCTTTTCTTAGTAGTCATTTTTAACCATTTAAGGCATCTCTTAAACATTCCTACATATCTTTCATTGGTTACTTTTCAACACAAACTTAAACAATACATTTCCTTGGAAAATGGAAATAAACACCTGGTTTTTCACGAGGTTTCCACAGAATGGATCCTTCATGAAAGACTTCCCGGAGTCCTTGTTTATTCTTGTTTGGTTTACATGTGTGAACGTTTGAATGTTTCCTCCCTCCAGCGGACCACAGTGCGCTCTACACCAGCGTCTCTCTCTGCATCTCAGCCTCCCTCGCTGTCGCTGCCTTCCTCTTCTTTAAAGTAGATCTGGTGTTGGCCTACAGGAAACTCTTGAGACATTTCTCCAAACAACAAAGTAAGTGTTTGTTGAAGGTGCTTTTCAGGAGGAATCATCTGACTACCTGGAAATCTCTTGTTTGCCCAAATTGCACAAGACGTAAATAATGTGTCAGCCTTATGGAATGAACACAACTTAGGTAACATAGGAAATGTTAACATTGTCAGGAAAGAAGGTACTTCACATTAAAGAGGAATAATTAAGGAGGACATAAACATGAGGCCACAAACAGGACTCCATGGGGATTTAATACTTTTGTACACAGGTAATATTATGCTCATTTTCCGGTTGATATTAGTTTTTTGTGTCTCTACTGGGACATGTCTCCATGCTCTAATGATCAAAAAGCTCTTTATTGTTCTCATACTGCCTGTGCTGCAGCACCTCTTTTCACCCTCTGTCTGAAACCAGAGCCCAGTCTGCTCTGATTGGTTAGTTGGCCGGTTCTGTTGTGATTGGTCAACCGCTTAGAGATGTCCCGCCTCTTAGCCTAACACGTACAATGTATTATAGTGCTAGCCAATAGAAGCGCAATTGTTACATAGTCCTCTCTACAGTTTCAGATGGGAAGCTTTACGACGCCTATGTGAGTTTCCTCCATCCAGACACGCTCACTTCAGATGTGACGGCAAACTTCGCCCTGCAGATCCTGCCGAAGGAGATGGAGAAACACGGCTACTCGCTGTTCATCAGAGGACGAGACGACTGCCCTGGAGAAGGTCAGGAACACACACACACACACACACACACACACACACACACACACACACACACACACACACACACACACACACACACACACACACACACACACAATGCAGAAAGTTGAAATGCACTTAAGAAAACCAATCACAGTGGATTTGTCCTTATTTGACTGCTAACTAATTTGGTTCAACTGACTTTTCTCATTGACCAAGTATACCGCATTATGAGCTGTATTGCCTCTCACACTTTTGGGTAATTAAAACAAATTAGGTCCACCAAGAACTTTTTGGATGTGTAATTAAGTAGATCATTTGTTTATATATAATTTAGAATCAGTCATATTTGTGTATATCAACTTGACACTGCTTAATATTGTATTGTATAATAATTCTCATCTTACATTTTTGTGTTGTTGTTCTTCACATTCGAAATAAATCTAATCAAATAAAAAAAATCAAATCAACTAAAATAAGTTGGATATGTGTCAAAAGGTTTATTTGATGCTTTGTCAAATGGCAAGTTTTTGTGTGCATTGGATTGCATTGTAATGTTGAATCAAATTGAGCCATTTGACAAGGAAAACAAATATTTGGCCTTTAGCTGAATTTGTTCTGTTTCCTGTGTTATCTCTTGCAGCGGTGCATGACGTCATCGCTGCTATGGTGCGCCGATGCCACAGGTTGATTATCGTCCTGTCACCAGAGATAAGATCCTCCACTCAGGGCGAAACGGAGGAAGTGGAAACCCTGTGTGACAACCAAACTCAGCTGTGTTATGAGCAGAAAATCGGCGTCCACGACGCTCTAACCCGCAACGAGCCCCGAGTCATTCTGGTGGAAATCGGTAAGGAATCAGGATTATATCATTCATAAAAAATGTTTAATAAACTAATACACACATATACTCTTATGGATGGAGATGCTTTTTTTTGGATCAAATTTGTATACACAACATGTACAACCAAAACATGTTATTACTAGAAGTACATGAGAAAAATAAATACAATTACAAGAAGTACAATTAAACTAAATTAAACAAACCCAACCCTCCCTCCCAGACATATAAACACACACACACACACACACACACACACACACACACACACACACACACACACACACACACACACACACACACACACACACACACACACACACACACACAGGGTGTTCGCTGTTGGGTGGAGATCCTTTAACAGCTGCCAAATTATATAATACATATTTTGCCCGAAGATGGCCACTTTGGATAATCAGTACTTTATGATTTGGTATTTAAGTATGTTTTGCTGCATTACTTAAGTAATATTTTGAATGCCTGAAACGCCTCCATTGGACTCTTTTGTTTACTTCCGTAACAGAGTGACAGCTATATTTAACACTTGCGCTGCTATTGGCTAGCACTCGAACACATTGTACGTGATAGGCTAAGAGGCAGGACATCTCTAAGCGGTTGACCAATCACAACAGAGCAGGCCAGCTAACCAATCAGAGCAGACTGGGCTCTGTTTTACTTAAATTAGCATCAGAGGACTTTTTCCACCATTGCTAACAACTGCAATTACCAGGAGCTCTGAAAAGTGTCATTATGAAACCTGCTAAAGTGGTCTCTCTAATCATTGTAAAGGTTTGCTAAAGTAAACATGTAAATGTATGAATATCTTTATTTAAATATATGGTCAACATTTTATTGTATTCCTCTAGGCTCGGTGGATTACAGGTGCCTTCCGGAGTCTCTGCGCTACATCAAGAGGAAACAAGGAGCTTTGAAGTGGAAGAAACCCTCCCTCAAAACCAACAAATGTATCAAGTCTCGCTCAAACAGAAACTTCTGGAAGAGTCTGAGGTACAACATGCCCTCAGTGCCTTCAGGGAAACTCCACACCATTGTTTAAATGAAGTGAGGCCTGTTTCCTGGGAATACTTCTTTTGACGAAGAAGGCATCCTGGATCGGTTTGTTATTGTCATATGAGTCATGTAAACAAAGAAGACTGACAGCCTGGCTCGTTGCACACTGAATGCAACCCAGAGAGACATCTGCTGGATTTCATCCTGGATTCAAACTCCTTAAACAAATCTGCTCAACATGTTACAGACTTTCAGCTATGTTCACATTACTCAACAGATCAAAGGGTGTACCAGTGTAATGTACTATTATATTTATATGATGCGTGTTTTGTATATTTTCAAGTAATTAGACAGTCTTTATTTAAAAATGTCCTTGTACCTGGACATGGGCTTAATGAAGAAGAAGAAAGGCACCTTCCAAGATGATTAGAAAGAAATGTGAAAAGCATGTGTGAACAGTAACAATGAAGGAACACTTTTATGAAGATCAACAATTTCACTTGCCTTTTTTCAGCTGCCTTGTACTGCATTAAACCTGCAACCTAATTCTTGCCCTGAAAACACTTTATGTATTTATTATCTGACAAATGTCTCAGTGTTTATTAAAACAAAAGTCAAAGTCATTATCCTGATGTGTGGTGCTTCTGTGTTGCAGTTTTTCTCTCAATAGGAGCCAATTAAACTTACATTTGAGATAAGTTTCAAACAACAGTGACTCTATAACTTTTTAACCCCCGAACGCCAACAGGCTGTGTGCGTCAGTGTTTAGTGTCCTCTGGTTTCTGTTTTGAGCTTCTTGCAATGTTTTCTTGTGAAGTTGGTGAAGATATTTCTTCATTTGCTTTGTTTTGGCTCATTTGTGCTGCGGCTTTCTCCTAATAGAAATGTTTTGGGCCGTTGTAACGGGTTGGCACCTGTCAGCCACCTTAGAAAAGGGTGTATACGTTTTGAAAGGATGTTTACTCAAGGATGTTTATATCAACCTGTATTTCATTATTACTCAGTTGTTCTCTGCCTCATATCATCCTTGATAAGGGGGTTATTTACCACTTTTGCCTAAAAAGTCATGGTTTCTGGAAAAGTATTTATTCGTCAGCCTGGTTCTTGAGAAGTGATGTCCAGGAATTTCAGATTTTTCCATATCCAGCTTTCTGGAATCTACCTTGTTGAGACTTATATGAGCCAACTAATTAGTGGGAATCCGCTGAGTTACTGTCTCAACATGACCGAATTCATTCCATGGAACGTCATTTGAACCCCACATTTGGATCAGTCACTGAGTGAGGCTTTTCCACTTCTGAAAACATTAATGAAACGCAGATGAAACTATTTAATTGTGAGGGTGTGACGTCCCTGGAAACTTCATTTCGATCCTTACACTTCTGGCCAATCCCATCTAAGCTAGGAAACATCAGGAAATAATGAAGTTGAGGACGTTTTTGAAGTGATTTTGCCTGTCTTTCCGACACCAGCAAAACTAATCGAGGTGTTGTTGTTGTGCAGGGACTCGGGTCTTCACCGTTTGGTTACAAAATGAAAAACGGCAGCATGTGGCAACCAGAAGCAGGAAACAGGTGCTAAAACAAAAACAGTTTAACCAAGGTATTACAAAAACTGTGCATAACAATATGTAACGTTATGGTGTGATTTCAATGTATTTCCTTTCTCTTATGAGGACTGTATTAAGCGCTGTGGAAACCTTGTATCTCCGGGTCTTGTTCTCGAGTTAGGGGACAATGGAGAGTGAGATGGATCGAAACCTTGGCATTTTTCAAGGATCCTGATACACACAAGGCCATTTCTGCTATCATGCTATGTACAAATCCCTTGATGTTTAGCTAGTATTTTGCTCACCAACAACCAACATACTGCACCCGTCTCTACAAAACAACAAATGTTCTCTAAAAAACCTCTTCATACCCAAGTGAGGGAAGAGAAAGGCCCTTTTAGACTGAAGTAACCCTTCAATAATGTTTCATTTTTGAATCATAGTTTGTCTAATAAGGGTATCATTGTTTATGCGTTTCATAACCTTACATATATAGTTCAACCAGTAGAACATGTATAAGTGAGTGTGTGCTCTTACATTCTTGGTGAGTGACAGGATCTCCCTTATCAACAAATTCAAAGAATCTTGCAATGATATTTCCTGTTCTGCTTTCCAGAGAAACATGTTCTTATCTTCGTCGACTTATCTCACTTTCTCTCAAACATGCTGTACTTGCATTTTTTTTCAACCTCGTTCTCTATACAGCCTTATATACCCGAGAATAACCCAATAATATTGTTTTTATTTGTAATATTTGACAAGTCTATGACACATTTAGTTTGTTGTCAACTTTTCTAAACGTTGACTTGTAAATATAATAATGTTCTTTTATATAAGGCTGGACAGTTTGCTATCTGAGACATAAGTTAACTTTTTAACTTATAGGACATAAAAGGATTTTAGCTTCTGATCATTGACCGAACACACCTGCAGCATGACGCCCATCGAAACACTCGCACCCATTGTGTTATATTTGAGTTTGTGCACCAATTCATTGACAGTTAGCGCATCGAAACACATCTTAGCTCTTCCCCCAATCACAGGCCACTATAAGCCACATCAACAACTCCTCGCTGAGTCTGTTAGGGTAAAAAAGAAATCTGATTACGAGTGTGTATCCTTCATACATTTGATCAGGGCTGAGAGGTTGACAGATGGAAACAAAAAACGATTTTATTTATAGGAAATCCTGCCTTTCATTCAGCACATTCAGGCTATATACCAACAATGAAACACATGAGCACATAATACAGTTTAAAAAAGCAGAAATAAAATCTGAGCTGACAGAAAATGCTCCGTTTTAGTTTAACACACACAGATAAGCTCACACACACACACTATTTTAGGAACGTATAGGTTCACCTGCTGAATTAAACACAGAACAAATGAAGCAAAGAAAGTGAAAACCATAAAGAAAAACAGTTTTGCCAAAAGCTTTTTAAGGAATTGGAAACCAGGTTGAGGGAAAACCATCGAACCAAACGAGTGTAAATAAGGTCCGTCGAATAACAAGCTTAGTTCTCCCGAACCAAATAACTCTAATGCTCTGAATGCCATTCATTTCATTTCAAACCTTTATTTACCCAGGTGTATCCCATTGAGATCATTGATCTCTTTTTCAAGGGAGACCTGCTCAAGTAGGTTCCACATGAAACATAAAAACATAAACAGAACAACAAAAAGGACATCTTACAGCAGGGGTGCCCAACCAGTCGATCGCGATCGACCGGTCGATCGTGAGGAGATTCCCAGTCGATCGCGAGATGTGTCTAAAAATAGAACAACAATATTCTGTTTTATCGTTAATGTCATGTAACATAATCTTCCCGTGCCAGAATAATGTACTTGAACGCATCAAAGCTTTGTGATTGGCCGGCTAGACCCCATGTGTCGGGGCGTGGCTGGTCGGCAGTGGGCACTAGTTAGCTGACGTTGTCCGTGTCAACAGGAGTGACAGTCCGCAGTCCGCACACACACAAGACCGCAATTATGGCAGAAGCAAAAAAGCCCAAAATATATAATTTTCACTCCGAGTGGGAGGATGATTATTTGTGTATCTATTCCAATTCAAAGTCCATCTGTCTCATCTGCAATGCGAGCGTGGCTTTATCGAAGAAGGGTCATTTAGGAGCGGCATTTCAAAACAGTGCACAAACGCTACGAGACGGAATTCCCTCCTAATTCTGCCCTACGCTCCCAAAAGGGGAGGGGCCTGAAAGGACAGCTAAATGCACGGCAGTCCATTTTCACCAGGCCCAACAACAAGAGCAAGGCTGCTACCAGAGCATCTTATCGTGTCAGTCACGTTCTTGCCAAACACATGACGTCTTTCAAAGACGGCGAAGTTGTGAAATAAGCATTCCTCGAGGCTGCCGACGCGCTTTTGGGGGATAGATGAGAGTAACACCTACGTCACTTCCGGGCAAAAATTACGGCCCCGCCCACTTTTGGGGGAAAACAACGCTGTCATTTGAATGGCGGTCAATACAAATTCTGAAGTTTTTGCCAATCCGATCAAATTTTTTTGAAAACCGTCGATTTTTGGATCTTCAAAGAGCCCGATTACGATGGCCAGACAGGCAAACAATTACATTCGATCATTGGTAATCGACAATCGGTCTTGATATATGGTTAAATTAAAATCAGTAGGCGAGGCTGTAATTTCTCCAGCTGTTACTCTCATGAGCGAGGCGGAACATAATAGTTGTATCATGCCAACAAGCTGCTGTGTCGTTTATTGCACATCAAACATTAAAAATAATCCAGAGTTCAGTGTTTCTGTACTTCCTCAAAGAAGAAAGGACAGTAAAAGAAGAGCTCTGTGGCTTCAGGCTCAATCGCCATTCAAATGACAGCGTTGTTTCCCCCAAAAGTGGGCGGGGCCGTAAAGTGACGTAGATGTTACTCTCATCTATGAAAATCGATAGCCTACTGCTATATTTAACCATATATTGAGCCCGATCGTCGATTTCTAATGGCTTAATGCAATTGTTTGCCTGTCTGGCCATTGGAATCGGGCTCTTTGATGATCCAAAAATCTCCGGTTTTCTTGAATTTCTGATCGGATTGGCAAAAACTTCAGAATTTGTATTGACCGCCGTTCAACTGACAGCGTTGTTTTCCCCCAAAAGTGGGCGGAGCCGTTATTTTTGCCCGGAAGTGACGCATTTGTTACTCTCATCTATAGTAAAAATAACAGTAGAATTTCAACAGGTTTTTGATATAATAAAAAACTAAAGTTAGATACCGTTATTAATCAGCTGTAAGTTTTAGTTTGTTTGAACTTATTAATTATAATTATTGTACAAAATGGTATAAGAATGCAAACTTAAATTGATTATAGTCTATCATCAATTCAGGTTAAGAAGCTAGTGTTGCTTGCATCCTATTTTAAAGGCATTTATTTTTATAATCTACTAAAATGCAACAAAAAAAGGGTTTGATTCTGTTAATTTTGTCTTTTTTATTGCACGTTGGCAGCAGATTCCTGTGTAGCTTCAGATCTGAGTTGTCTTATTAGTAAACCTAATTTATACTTTTGTAGCAACACTATTTTTATATAATGGCAAAGAAAGGGTTCCTGTGTCATATGTGGCAGCACTGTTCAATGTTTCTTGAAAACATTACCCACTGTAGTGACGTGTGAATAAACTCCAACTCTGTATCAACAACTCTGTTGTGTAACTTCAGTTAAATATTTGTATGTGTGTAGATTAGAAAGAGGTAAGATAAAGGATCTGCAGTATTTTATGGAGTATTAATCGTACAAAGGTCAGTTTTATACAAGTAGAAGTGTGTATTTACCTGGTAGTAGGCTGTCAGTAATGGCTACGTCTCTCTATTTGGACTGGTAGATCTCAGCAGACTGGCAACTTTAAAAGTTGCTCTCGGTTCAAAAAAGGTTGGGCACCCCTGTTTTACAGCATCATTACAGGGATTACAATTTAAAATAATTATCCACATAAACAGGTACCAACAGCTTCCGATTGAGTAGCATCCAACCGAGCTTTAAAAACATTTAGTGGCACCAGATTGTTCAGTTTCCATTTCAATTGCAGACTATTCCAAGACAGAGGAGCTGCGCATCTAAAAGCCATCTTCCCTAAGACAGTCCTAGCAGTTGGCACATTTAATAAAACCACAGCATGCGATTACAGTACAGTACAGTGCCATATACTGTAACAGTGCAGCCTTTAAGTGCTTATGCACTAATGTCGCCCACAATTTGGACTACCTATGTTGCAAATGTATTATCTTTTCAATTTACACACGGCATCTATTGCACGTCTGTCCGTCCTGGGAGAGGGATCCCTCCTCTGTTGCTCTCCCTGAGGTTTCTCCCATTTTTCCCTTTAAACTGTGGGTTTTCTCCGGAAGTGTTTCCTTGTACGATGTGAGGGTCTAAGGATAGAGGGTGTCGTATTGTCATACTGATATTTTGTACAAACTGTAAAGTCCACTGAGACAAATGTAACATTTGTGATATTGGGCTATATAAATAAACATTGATTGATTGACAACCTGATCCGTCTGAACAGAAAATGAGCATCACTGTGAGGAAGCACTTCCCATTTCAGATCTCTTTATCCTTACAGTCGATTTAGTTAGTTCAGTGGAGACACTCATTGCCTTCATTTCACTGAGCGGGAATCAGTTTCTGTGGTTTGTTTGAGTTGTAAAGCATTAGTTCATTATGGGGAGATTCCACAGGACGCTGCTGTGTGTTGATTTTGGTGAGTGGCAGTATATGACATAATAACTTTTACTGGCATCTCATGAGGTCAGCTGAAACCTAGCTGGAAAGGTTTATCCCTATCTATGAAGCGTCACTCCTCAACAGCAGGCATGAACCACCCGCATCGCAGTGTCCATGCTTAAAAGATTATGGAGTCAGTTACAGGATATGAGACCCACCAATATGTTATCTCGTTCATGTTTTCTCTTCTTTCTGAGGTGTGGTTTGTTGGGTCCGTTACCAATTGGTAAGGGATATTTAGAGGTCATTGTGTGTGTGTGTGTGTGTGTGTGTTGTGTGTGTGTGTGTGTGTGTGTGTGTGTGTGTGTGTTGTGGGTGTGTGTGTGTGTGTGTGGTGTGTGTGTGTGTGTGTGTGTGTGTGTGTGTGTGTGGTGTGTGTGTGTGTGTGTGAGAAAGAAAGAAAGAAAGAAGAAAAAGGAAAATGGGAGGAGAGAGGGAGGAGGAATGGACACTGTGTAATTTATCATTATTTTATTATGTCAACGCCTCTCTTTCTGTGTTGCTTTTTCTTGCTCTCATGGTGTTACTCACTCACACTTCTCACAGAGGCGACATAAAACCAAGTAGAGGAGAAGAGTCTCACTGGATCCACTCAAGTTTTCTCACACACGCTATGAGGTAAGCAAACGGTTTCATTTGTTCTTCTTCATGTCTTTTTGAAAAGGCGTTCAACTGTAGAAGCATGATAACTGGACGCTGCTTCTCCGTGTTTAGTTCTGACTCTGGGGACAGAAAGCTGACCAGTATTTAGAGAGAATACTGCCAGTTCACTCGGAGGTACTAAAAGCTCAAGACAAAAGAGAACCTTATTGTTGTAATGTATTTCATTACAATTCATTCGTGACTTTTGCAATTCGTCAACACATTTTGGCATTAAAGAAAAATATTCCATATTATTCATAACTGCCTGTTGCAAAGAAAATAACACACTTGTTTTACATTTATCATTTATTTTAAATCCATTAATTCAGAGTTTTTAAAAGTGTCTCAGCTGTGGCACAGAGAGCAAATGTTTACCGGGGCTTCATCTATAAATAACCACACTTGTTTCGTAATCACAGTTTTTATTTGTGTTGTGTTAATGTTACGCGGAGATTATTGCACGTTCCTGAAACAGCAGCCATGCAAAGAAATTGAAGACATCAATAAAGACAGACTGTATGTTTGATTATTTAGTTATCTATTAGTGTGTTATAGATTATCTATTTTAATAGTATCCTTGTAGCATTGTGTACTTTAAAGACGACATATTCGACTCCTTTCCAGGTTCATTTTTATATTTTGTGTCTCTGTGACGTGTCTCCATGCTTTAATGTTCAACAAGCTCTTTATTTCTCTCATACTGTCTGTGCTGCAGCACCTCTTTTCACCCTCTGTCTGAAACCAGAGCCCAGTCTGCTCTGATTGGTTAGCTGGCCGGCTCTGTTGTGATTGGTCAACCAGCTTAGAGATGTCCCGCCCCTTAGCCTATCACGTACAATGTGTTGGAGCGCTAGCCAATAGAAGCTTGCGTTTTACATAGTGATGTCACTAAGGAGTTCAATGGATGGGTTTAGAGGGAACTTAACCCTTTGCAGACCACTTACATTCACAAAAAACTACAGCAGTGGTTCCCTTGGGGGGCGCCAAAGATCGCAGGGGGGGCGCCAGGCCTCAGATGATTTGAGGCCAAATATCATATTTAGACTTTTTTTTTTTTTTTTTTTTTTTTTTTGTACATATAATTGTAAAGCAATACATGATTGTCACTAAAAGCCTTGTCTCTTCATTACAATAAAATATAAAAAATAATTGATTAATTAATTTGAATAAAAATTCAAGTTAGGCATAAAAAGACAGAAATGTATAATTCTTTCTTTAATAGAAATGTTTCTTCTGCTCATAAAGTGTCCAAACCAGGCTTTTCTGGATAAGCGCATGTTTAAAACATAGTCATTGTCCCATGCCGGTTTCAGTTGGATTATTTGTCACAGTTGCTCCGATCAGATCGGTCTCCTCCATTTTGTAGATTATTTACGACTTTTGAATCCACATAAACACATCGGCAAAATCAGGTAGTTAAGAAGTCCTAGTGTATCCGGCACTATGCAAAGAAAGATCATACAGATAAACTATACCAGGGAATTTAATAAAGGCAATGTCAACATCCGGCTGCAAGACTCATTTCAAAAGGTTCATGATGGTATCGGTGTGTGTGGGTGGTGCAGAAGCATGTGGTTTAACTCTTACTTCACTCCGTCTCTCAGAACATGGACACTTCCCGACTTCTCCTCCTCGTTTACATGGTGATAACCACATCTGAATGTTCAGGTAGGGTAATATTATGATCTGTTTACTCAGCTCCAACCATGTTATCGACCTGATAACTGGATAGTTAATACACTCCTAGAGGATGTGGCGGAAGTATAAAGCATAAATCAATATGATACATTAAACACGTTAAACCCTCATTATCAGAGATTTTGAAGGATTTGTTTTGGATTTGACTTGACTGCACTGGCTGGATTGAACAGTATACTATAAATAACAATTAAGTAAAGCTGTGTATACACATATATACACATGTTGTTGTGCTAGTGCAAGTCCAAAGCAGGTACATACTGTGGTGATGCACAGCCGTGTTGTAGTTTGTTTATAGCCCAGCATTAGCTTTTTACTTCTGCCGATTACTTTTAAGCTTCAAAAATAACAAAGTGGCACCAGAACCTGTTAAGCATCATAACATTGTGTTGGCCAAGGAGCTTTTTTTGTGCATTATTCCAAAATCCATTGGGAAAATCCCATTGCTTTTTGTCGAGGCCTACAAAAACGCATCCTTACTGCACTCTATTTGTTGTAAATATAGAATAAAGCTAGCATTTCGTATTTTATAAACTATTTCATTAATTTGTCCTTCACTCTAATCAACACTCCAATAATGAAAAGCCGGTCTACCTGTACATTTACACGACCAAGAAAGATTAATACCATCATCTTCATAAAGCTCATCTCTTCCATCTTTTCTCCACATTTTCAGAGACAGCAGAGCCCGGATGTGACCTTGACACAATCCCTTACAACGTTCATGAAGGGGAGGCGTTTAAGTGTGTGCATGACAATCTCGACCCTAACGTGCCTGATGAAGAGATCACATGGTTCAATAATAACCAGACTGAGATCACTGCTGACGAAAATGAGACCGTGCATTACCACGGTGGATCTCTCTTTTTCTTAAACCTTCTCCCCGAGGACTCTGGATTGTACAGCGCCCGGTGAGGATACTAAAATTGAGTCTTGATCGACCTTTTCTGTAAACATGTTCCCTGGTTTTGAATCAATCTATTTCTTCCCCTTAGGCATAACACATCAGCAGGGAAGTGTAGAAACTACAAAATAAGAATTAACGTCCACAAGAAATTCGTCTACCAACCTATCGTTAACTCTGACATTGACAAAAAGGTCACATGCCCAAATCATGTCCGCCGCACATGTGCCACATTGATAGGAGAACTCACCTGGAACAAGGTACCTGCATTAAGTGAGAACTGTGTGTGAATAGAAAGTATACGTTTACAGGTTATAAAAGAGAAATATGCACTGTTGACCCAAATGTTAAGAAAGATTAACCAGTTTTTCGGTTTTTAGGTAATTTAGGTTCACTTAAAGGTGGGGTAGGTAATTTTGGAGAAACCAGCTCGAGTGCGCTAGAATTTGAAAATACACAACCGGAAAAAATCTGCCACTTCCTTCAGACAATTTTGTATGTATTTATTGTCAAAGCATTTAATGTATTCATTGCTATCGGGATGTTAAGAGCATTCCATGGAAAAAACAAGTGTTTCTGAAATAAATTACATACCCCACCTTTAACAGATTAAGTAAACCTAAATTTAAAAAACAATCTAATCAAACATTTTGATTAGACTCAACAATTTTGTGGATTACTAAGCACTAATTATAAGTAAAGATGTACCTGTGCTGAGTTATATTATTTATTTGTGTGTGCATGCATCTGTATGTAATCAAATATTGAAGCTTTGAAAACACTTCTTATTTTCCTCAATTGGTAATCACTAAATGGGGATTTATTTTCCCCCAATAAAAACATTTTATTAATTTTCCTATTCTTGCATTACGATTATGTTCAGTGCAACATATACTGACATGTAAACAAAAGAATATTGCAAAAAAGATTAAATCCTATTTCTGTTTTTCATTTTTTGAACGGGATTATTACATAATAACAGGGTTTATTAGGGTCTATCTTCTGTCCTTTTTAAATACCTTTCCTATGGCATGCTTAATTGTTCTCCTCCTTTCGTTTGTGCCCCGGCTTCAGGACAACAAGACCCTTCATGGTCAAAATGAAAAAACTCTTTGGGTTGCAAATGCTAATAAAACGGACGAGGGAATCTACACCTGCGTTTGCACCTGGACACACAACGGCAAGAAGTACAACACTTCAGGACATAGGAGTCTAACAGTTCAAGGTGAGACAGTATTTTAAGGTAAATTGGATAAAAAGTTCACAAATAAAAGTGAAGTAAATTTAGCATGTTGGGAGCTGGTATTATTCTTTATTTAAGAAGTCAAAAGATAACGATATAACCAGTGGTGAGAGAAGTATTCAGATGCTTTAGTAAAAAACATTATTGTCAAAATACTTCACTACGAGTAAAAGTCCTGCATTCTAAATCTTACTTAAATACAAAAGTACTACAAAATGTAATGAAAGTATAACAAAAAGAAGTTATCATTGACAAATTCCCTATATGTGTGTGTATAATTATATTTATATACATTTTGTAGATAATATTGTTGCATCACTTAGCATTTTAATGTTGAAGACAAACACAGTTATGACTTACTTTGTGTAAAATATTTAAGTAATTAAACTCTTTCATGACTTAAAGAGTTTAATTTTAGAGATGCATTTTGTTAAGAGTAGCTATTAGATACATGTAGTGGAGTAAAATCACAGTGCTCCCTTTTAAATGTAGTGGAAAAGAAGTATAAAGTAGCATAAAAGGGTAATTGTACCTCAGTATATTTGAATATACTTGAGTAAATGTACTTAGCTACTTCCCAGGATATGACATTGAAATGTGAAAGTTATCAAGTGTCCTGTAGAGCCTCGTAAAGGAGCTCTGATCACTAAGTTTGTTTTTGATTGTCTGCAGGAGACAAGGTGTCCTACCGTAAATTAGAGATCATCTCACCGACCAACGAGGAGCAGCTTGCTGATGAAGGTATGAACAGCTGATAACTCCACAGTGCTTAGCTTCATAACCCTGAAAATACAACAACTCCTTTATTGAAAAAATGATACCTATGTGTTAACGACTATTGCATTAATACTGCTTTTCAGTGAATAATCTGTTGCTTGTTAGAATCGTGCTGTTGACGGGGCAGCAGCTAAATGTATTTTGAATACCTAAAAGAAACAATAGAATGTAATGTTATTTTATATAAAGATTATTTTTACAGCTTTACCTCGCTGTCAGACCTCTCTCTCCAGCAGGGAACCAGAGCCATGACCTGTGGTCTCATCAAAGCACTGACCTGTTTTAATTGTTCTTAAAGGTCTCCTATTATACTCTTTTTCATCAATATATTATAGGTCTCAGATATATACAAAACATGTCTCTGAAGTCTTTGAAACACCAAACAGATCATTGCTGCATTACCCATAATCCTCTCTGTTCAGCCCTGTTTCCAAAGTGCTGATTCTCTGTCTGTTACTTTAGATGAGAATAAGGAGCCCCTTCCCACGCCCCTCTGAGAGAGATTTGGTTACAAAGAACACAATGGTGCTCTAGGTACAGCGCTTCTCAAAGTGTGGTCCGCGGACCACTGGTGGGCCGTGAGCGCCCCCTAGTGGTCCGTGAGTATATTGGTAACATTTCACATTTGAAATAAATAAATAAATTTAAATTTTCCGCACTCTCGCGGGAATATCTCCGCAATGGAGCGAGCTTAAGTTTCACTTTCGATTGCATGATATAGCCCAGATAAACACCTTCATCACACATGTGGCCACTTGTTTGTACCATTTTCAGGCGATTTGTAAACAACTATGTGTTTTTGGATATTTGTGGAGTTAGGTGGTCCGCGAGTGTTTTGTTATTGGTTAAGTGGTCCTTGGTATGACAAAGTTTGAGAAACACTGCTCTAGGAGGAGATTCAGGTGATAAGGGGGGGGGGGGGGGGGGGGGGGGGTTACCTTGGTGATTATGGCTAATGGTTACATACAGTGCTTGAATTGGAATAAAAAAGGTGCCAGTACTCTAAATCAGCAACTGTTTCAAGTCCATTTTATGTATACAGCCGAAAAACAAGAATTTGGCTCAAAGGTCTTTACAATCTGTACAAAATACGACTCCCTATATCCTTATCCTCATATATTTGATTCAGTAATTAAAAAGAAACACAACAAAACTTTAACAGACAAGGAAAACATTTTTTTTAAAAACAGAATATTTACTGTAAATCCTTGTCCAGTGTGTATTCCCAAATATTGTATCTCTTCACATATCCGACATCTCAGCTTTTTGTCTTTAACAACGAGCCATTCATAGGTCTTGCACCTGGTCCCTTGTCCAGCAGTCAGGGCAGTTGCGCCAGCAGCAGCTAACGTTAGCGGGAGAGAAGGCTCTGTGGGAGCTAGTGCTACTGAATTTGGAGCAGGAGGCTCGACCAGAGAAGTCAGACAACATTTCTAACACAGCATTTTCTGTATTTGCAGTTGCATCAGTATTAACTGGAGTTTCTTTCGGCTGCTTGTCCGGCGACAACCGCTTTCTTTTCGCACTATTAAGCCACGCTAACATTTTCGAAATGGTAGCTAACGTTAAGTATTTTCTGCTTTCCTTCTCTCCCGTGCCTGCTCTGGTCTATCGCAGTCTACAGAGCCACCTACTGGGTGGGAGTTGCAACTAAGCATAAACACAACACATAAGCGCAGCGTACCTAGATGTGTCATGAGGTGCCAGTACACAGTAAGAAGTAACGGTACGCAGATGGGTAAAAATCAGAAGTCCCGGTACTGCGTACCAATTCAAGCACGGTTACACAAGCCAAAAAATCGTTATGACATCATAAAGTGGCCAAAATCTGATCAGCTCATTTTCAGACAGGTTTTTATAGAAATGGATCAGGACAAAAAGAGAGAGAATCTTTGTTCCTGAAACTTTCAGAGTCTCTTTCCACAGAGGGGACACATGTTGATGTAGAAGAGACATGAAGAAGAGGGGACACATGTTGATGTAGAAGAGACATGAAGAAGAGGGGACACATGTTGATGTAGAAGAGACATGGAGAAGAGGGGACACATGTTGATGTAGAAGAGACATGAAGAAGAGGGGACACATGTTGATGTAGAAGAGACATGAAGAAGAGGGGACACATGTTGATGTAGAAGAGACATGAAGAAGAAGACGGGACACATGTTGATGTAGAAGAGACATGAAGAAGAGGGACACATGTTGATGTAGAAGAGACATGAAGAAGAGGAGGACACATGTTGATGTAGAAGAGACATGAAGAAGAGGGGACACATGTTGATGTAGAAGAGACATGAAGAAGAGGGGACACATGTTGATGTAGAAGAGACATGAAGAAGAGGAGGACACATGTTGATGTAGAAGAGACATGAAGAAGAGGGGACACATGTTGATGTAGAAGAGACATGAAGAATAGGGGACACATGTTGATGTAGAAGAGACATGGAAGAAGAGGGGACACATGTTGATGTAGAAGAGAACATGAAGAAGATGGGGACACATGTTTGATGTAGAAGAGACATGAAGAAGAGGGGACACATGTTGATGTAGAAGAGACATGAAGAAGAGGGGACACATGTTGATGTAGAAGAGACATGAAGAAGAGGGGACACATGTTTGATGTAGAAGAGACATGAAGAAGAGGGGACACATGTTGATGTAGAAGAGACATGAAGAAGAGGGACACATGTTGATGTAGAAGAGACATGAAGAAGAGGGGACACATGTTGATGTAGAAGAGACATGAAGAAGAGGGGACACATGTTGATGTAGAAGAGACCGAGGAATGAGAAGAAGAGGGGGACACATGTTGATGTAGAAGAGACATGAAGAAGAGGGGACACATGTTGATATAGATAGAAGAGACATGAAGAAGAGGGGGACACATGTTGATGTAGAAGAGACATGAAGAAGAGGGGGACACATGTTGATGTAGAAGAGACATGAAGAAGAGGGGACACATATTGATGTAGAAGAGACATGAAGAAGAGGAGGACACATATTGATGTAGAAGAGACATGAAGAAGAGGAGACACATGTTGATGTAGAAGAGACATGAAGAAGAGGGGACACATGTTGATGTAGAAGAGACATGAAGAAGAGGGGACACATGTTGATGTAGAAGGAGATATGAAGAAGAGGGGACACATGTTGATGTAGAAGAGACATGAAGAAGAGGGGACACATGTTGATGTAGAAGAGACATGAAGAAGAGGGGACACATGTTGATGTAGAAGAGACATGGAGAAGAGGGGACACATGTTGATGTAGAAGAGACATGAAGACGAGGGGACACATGTTGATATAGATAGAAGAGACATGAAGAAGAGGGGACACATGTTGATGTAGAAGAGACATGAAGAAGAGGGGACACATGTTGATGTAGAAGAGACATGAAGAAGAGGGGACACATATTGATGTAGAAGAGACATGAAGAAGAGGAGACACATATTGATGTAGAAGAGACATGAAGAAGAGGAGACACATGTTGATGTAGAAGAGACATGAAGAAGAGGGGACACATGTTGATGTAGAAGAGACATGAAGAAGAGGGGACACATGTTGATGTAGAAGAGACATGAAGAAGAGGGGACACATGTTGATGTAGAAGAGACATGGAGAAGAGGGGACACATGTTGATGTAGAAGAGACATGAAGAAGAGGGGACACATGTTGATATAGATAGAAGAGACATGAAGAAGAGGGGACACATGTTGATGTAGAAGAGACATGAAGAAGAGGGGACACATGTTGATGTAGAAGAGACATGAAGAAGAGGGGACACATGTTGATGTAGAAGAGACATGAAGAAGAGGGGACACATGTTGATGTAGAAGAGACATGAAGAAGAGGGGACACATATTGATGTAGAAGAGACATGAAGAAGAGGAGACACATGTTGATGTAGAAGAGACATGAAGAAGAGGGGACACATATTGATGTAGAAGAGACATGAAGAAGAGGAGACACATGTTGATGTAGAAGAGACATGAAGAAGAGGGGACACATGTTGATGTAGAAGAGACATGAACAAGTGGATTTTGAATAATAGGTGACCTTTCAAGAAAGTGCCTAGATGTTTGTATATATTCATAACTCCTCTTTAACCTCTGATATAAAAACCTCTCTCGAACAGGTGTTGGGATCAAGCTATACTGCAAAGTTTACTGCGGGATCAACATGAAGCGTGACTGCAATGCTTCCTGGGAAGCTAACGGAGTCTCTGTGGACAGGATTGAAGGATACAGTCAAGTGTAAGTCTGGCCTCAACAAACCACTCTACTCTCTGTAATCGAAGACGATGATGATGATGATGATGATGATGATGATGATGATGATGATGATGATGATGATGATGATGATGATGATGATGATGATGATGATGATGATGATGATGATGATGATGATGATGATGATGATGATGATGATGATGATGATGATGATGATGATGATGATGATGATATTTGTGTAATTTTCTTTTATGTGTTCTCTGTTAGTGTCATCAAGGAGCCTTCAATTAATACCATCTTCACTGCAGTCCTGACCATCGAAAAAGTGTCTGCTAAGGATTTTGCGGCTGAATTTAAATGTCTAGGCATCGGCTCCTACGAAAAATTGCATGCTAACTTAATCCTGAAGAGGAGAGGTCAGTAACAGGATATCATGTACGCAGTGGTGTAAAGTAACTTAGTACATTACTCAAGTACTGTATGTCACGATCTGTCTATGTTTGATTTTGTCCTGTCTAGATCTGTCTTTGTTTTCCTGTTTTAGTTGGAAAAGTGTTCACCCCTCGTCTTGTGTGTTGCTTCCTGTCTCTGTGTTCCCTCCTGCCTGATTACCCGATTGTGTTCACCTTGTGCCCCTATGTTTTCTCCCTCCTCCTCACCTGTGTCTTGTTTGTTTGATTACATTACATTACATGTTACTTGTTAGAAGCTTTTATCCAAAGCGACTTACATACTCAATACTGTGGACAATCCCTACAGGAGAAATTTGGGGTGAAGTGTCTCAGGGACACAACGACATGCTGACTGCAGTGGGACTCGAGCTTGCTGTCCTCTGATTCGAAGATCAGCGCATTAACCCACTGCGCCACTAGTCTCCCCACAGGATTAGTCCTGTGTTCATTTAGGTTCTGCTTTTTCTGTTAGTCTTTGTGAGATTCTTGACGTTGTTGGAAGGGTTTATGTTCTGAGGAGTCTCGTCTTTTTTTAAAATTGGGACAGCCTTCTTTCGGCGGAAGTGACGTATGCGGTCGGGTCTACAAATGCAGCCTCCGAAGGGTGCAGCCCCTGAATTGAGACACGGCCAAAGTCATTCAAACTAGCTGCACCTTTACCAGCTTTGATAACACTTTAATGATCAATAATTATACAACATATAATACATATTATTCTGAAATTGACCAATCTGCACAATCACTACTTTGAGTAACATTTTGACTGCAGGACTTTTATTTGTAACAGAGTATTACTACTCTCTGGTACTTCTACTTTTACTTAAGTACAAGATCTGAGTATTCTCCCACCTCTAATTCTCCCCAATTCATGTGTCTTCATCAGGTTTTTGGCTAATACTTGTTAATTGAGATGTTGTCTTTTGTGTTTTCCAGAGTCTATAATCCCCCTGGTCACTAGTGGAGTGTGTGTGTTGTCGCTGTGTGTGTTTGCCGCCGTGCTGATCAAGTGCTTCGCTATCGACCTCGCTCTCTTTTTCAGACCATTCCTCCCAAAAAGCAGTTACAAGAAAGGTAAGGAAGATATATATTTTTAATTCATGAAGGATTGAGAAATTAAAGAATAATAGGCTAGTTTAATTATCCTATCCAAACTATAAATGTTTGTTTTCTCCTTAATTTTGGATAAATCAGTTTAAAACCCCTATCATTTTTTACAGTTCTGCTTGTTTACAGATTTAACCAACAATGTACAATGTGTTAATAGGTTAGCTTCAGACGTTAGCTGCTAGCACCGGCTTTAAGTCTTTATGCTAAGCTAATCGCCTGCTAATGGAGGGCAATTTTATAAATCATAGTCTGATAAAAGGGCCTAAGAAGTAGCATTGCAAAGTCTGATAACGTGTCTTAACCCAAGACTAATCTTTACTTGAGGCTAGCAGCTCGAGGCTACATAAACACCGCTAATCTCCAACCAAACTCTCACTGGTGGAGTTGCATTGTGGGTAATGTAAATGTTATTTAGTGTCAAAAAGGGACTGGAAGGTACACCATGAAATAGAAATATAATGATGTGGGTGTAAAGTAAACAAAATGTCGGTCATATATTTGTTGAACATGCAAGGTGTTGTTTTGAGATGTTCGTGTGGTACTTTCATACGTGTTCAGATTTTGTTAACGTGACAGTGTAATGAGAAACATATTTTGAGTCTGCGTAGATCCACAAAAAACGGTGTCCAGAGAAGCATAATAACTCCAGCCACACTTGGAGAATACTTTTGGGAATGTTGCTCATTGAGTTTCTTGAAAAAAGGAGTCTGATGATAAAAATCAATGCTGGCTTCTTGCAGCCCACTTCTTATCCCTTTGATTGATCCTTTCTCTCACCCCTGTGATTTCAGTTGTGTCCGGTTGTTCGTACAGAGCGAGTGGAAATAAAATAACTTGACAGGCTTCATAAGCACAAACAGAATTGTGATTTATCGTAGCCTGGGTAACAATGAGTCAGAGAGATATTGTTTCTGGAAGAATCAGACAATGAGACAACCTTTCCTTGTATATGTTGGCCACCAGTTAACCGAAAACAGATGGGAGATTTAATGAGACAGTTTAGCTATTGTTGCCCAGAGTAGGATAAATGACTGCAGTGGTGTATTTTTCCAGGGAAACTCTTTGTGCCAAATGTAAATGTAGGTTTGCCTCATTAAGTAAAAGGCACTGTGTGGAGACAAGGCTGCATAATGTTCTCATAACAAGGACAAAACTGGCAGACTAAGATCAGAACAATCCTGAGAGAAAGCTTCAGTGAATGTGTTTGTATTTCCCAGATTCGAGGGTGTACGATGCCTACGTTGTGTACCAAACGCAGAGCATGGACAAGGTCACTGAAGACTCCCTCTCTCAGTTCATCACAAAGACTTTGCCCTCCGTCCTCGAGGGAAAGTGCGGGTATCGACTGTTCATCCACGGGAGGGACGACATACCCGGGGAAGGTCTGAATGTTTTTCAACACATGTCTTTACTTTGAGCACAAATACAGATAAAACCACATGTTCTGTCACAGGGATAAGGAAATCAGGACACAACAAGTGTGGAGGCAGCGTAAATTAAAGCTTGTACCAAAAAACACAAAACTAATGGAGCAGGAATGGTTAAACAAATGGAAAGTAGCAAACATGCGAAGGACAAACAGGATGAGACGACTGGAAACTTGGGAAGCTGAACCAGGGGAAGACTGATGGCAGGAAACATCAACAGATTGGCCAAAAACACTTAGACAGAGTGTTACGTCCCGGCTCGTGGAAAGTAACAAGTAACCAGTTGAAATTGGTAAATTGGAAGTTGTTTAATGCAAGCGTGCACTAAAATTGGCAACAAACAGCCACAATCAAAACAACAGGAACTAGACTCTTTAAATAAGAGCTTTCACAAGGTAATACCTACCCTAAACAAAAACTAACAAACACATAAACAAAAGAGAACCTCACTTCTAAAGTGGACAAAGGAATAGGGCTAACAAAAATAGGCAATAACAAAACACAGCCTGTGTACAAGTTAACCACCGTTAACGTTGTACTAAAAGACAAACATATTCATAGACATAAGCACACATACACACAACCTAGTTAACCACTGTTAACTGAACTAACACAGAATGTACGGAGCGAGTGCCGAGAGACGTCGGACACAGATTCAGATCTCTGTCGATTAACTGAGGTGCACACATTATTGTAGTCTTCCCCAGGAGGTGTGTGCGGGGATTGGAGAGTCGGGCCGGCATGCTCCAATCCAGATCTTCGGTCACGCCTACCGGGGGAGGGACAGGAAGCTGGCATCCAATGGCGTCTGGGCAACGGCACAGCTCATATACATATATAACACACAGCTGCAAACACTTACAGAAAGGTTAATGGGCAGAATGAAGGCGGCGGCCGTAACACAGACAGGCTTATACAGAGACAGGACTCAGAGAAAAGACACGGCTGGAGGTCAAACACAAGGGCAGCAAATGAACCCAATGATACAATCACACAGGCAGGAAAACAGAGAAGACAGGAAGTAAAACAAGACAAGACACAAAGAGAAAACACATTTACATTACATTACATGTTAGACGCTTTTATCCAAAGCGACTTACATACTCAATACTGTGGACAATCCCCACAGGAGCGATTTGGGGGGAAGTGTCACAACGACATGCTGACTGCAGTGGGGTTTGAACCTGTGCTCTGCTGATCCGAACACCAACGCACTAGTCCACTGCGTCACACGCCTCAGTTGGGATACCTTTGTTATCATGTTACTCTGATATTGGAAGAGTACATTCAGTGTTTTCCCAACATCCATGATTCCCATAGCAACACGATCATGAGAGTTTGTGGCACGCAGGGATGTTTGACCTTGACCCATTTTCCAAACACAACATAAACCTGTGTGTCCGTATCATTTTGTGTGACCTGCAGACCGCCTGGAGCTGGTGGAGGACCGCATGCAGCAGAGCAGGAGGCTGATGGTCCTCCTCACCCCGGGGTCAGGACCAGAGAGCAAGGAGGAGACTCTCACCCCGCCTCGAGACTCACTGATAGGAGGATTTGACTGTCAGGTAAGAGTCTTACTTTTTTCAAAGATTCAAAGGTTTTATTGTCATGTTCAATTCTTCTGACCTGAGCTCCTCCAACAATGCAACATATATAATAAAATACAAAAATACAAAAATAATGAAGTTCTCTTAACATTTATTACATAATATAGATAAATACTAATGTGGGCATTCTAGCAGATTGGGTGAGTTTTTATCCGCCCATGTTCAAATACAATTAAAATAAGGGTAAGTAAGTTTGAGAAACCGGCTCGAGATACACTTTTTGTTATATTCCATGGAATGCTCTTAACATCCCGATAGCAATGAATATCTGAAGTGCTTTGACAAAAAATACATAAAATAACCAGTCATCTGTGGAAGCCGTGGCGCTGTAAAAAGCACGACCAATCATCTGAGCCGGCCCGGCGAAAGTAACTGGATGGCCTACCTGCCTGCAGGCCCGGTTCCAGAACAAAATGACTCAGGGTGCATCTGAGATTAGAGAGGGTGCAGTGGTAAAGTGCTATTTTTGGTAGCGGGGAGTGGACCTAACACCCTCTAGGGGCCTCACCTCCGCTAGGAGGGTCCGAGGGCATGCTCCCCCAGGAAGATTTTATTTTACATATTGAAGTTAAAAGCATCAACCTGGTGCACTTTGAGAGCAACATTAAGAGATCTATGGATCTATGTGCTCTTTGCTTGATTCATGCCTTCCCAGTCCCTTATCACGTAGCCTATAAGAGCATGGCGCCAGTTGTAGTAGCCAGTTGTGGTGAAGGCATCTGACTTACTTGAACCGAAATGACTACATGCTTAGCAGAAAATGGCATCTTTTTCACATGAATATTCCAGCCAATCTCTGTTTTGAAACCATGAGCTGCTAAATGAGCGCCTTACCCCACTGTTCAGGCGAGTTGGGTACTTTTTTAAATATACCTGGGCAGGCTCTGTTTTGCCGAGGTCCTCTGGCACTTGCGGGCCGCTGAGGGGTGGCGGCGTTTGGGGCAACGAAGACGGCTGCGGCTGCTCCGCCTCTGTGGGAGAGGCGGGCAAAGCCGGCGAGTCGGGCGTTAGTGTCCACGACAGTGGCCGCGGGTAACGTAATGTCCCCATGATCTGAAATGTTATTACCTGCAGTAGATGCAGTGTTACTGCTGGCGATAAGGGCTGGTTGTTTTAACCATTTTCTGATGTCCATCATTGACTGCTGTGTAAGCACTTTGCAGATGACGAACATGCAGCGGCACAGGTCACGCACACCTGACATAATAACGTTACTTACCGTTTAAATTGACCAAATAAATGCAGCAGACAATGTTATTTAACCACAATTACAATTTATTTTATTTCAACTAAATTCTTATTATTATTATTATTATTATTATTATTATTATTATTATTATTACTACTATTATTATTATTATTATTATTATATATGTAATATCTTTCACTTTTTTTTTCACTTTTCATTTTTTTACTTTTCATTTTTCAAATGAGGGTGCATAACGACTCAACTGAGGGTGCAATGCACCCTTATGCACCCCCGTAGAACCGGGCCTGCCTGTCAGCCTTCCATCTGGGCACAAACTTATCTCGTGCCCTCATTGGTCATGTGCGCGTTCGTGTGTGTTGGAGGAGGGGCTCTGTGAGGAAGTGGCAGATTTGTTCCGGCTGTGTATTTTCAAATTCTAGTGCACTCGAGCTGGTTTCTCCAACATTACCTACCCCACCTTTAAGGCTTAAAAAACTTTCATAGTAAATATCATTGAGTAAAATATTTGTTTTAATAATAACAATAAATATAATAATGGCAATAATAATGAATAACAACAATTATAATCATAATAATAAACATTTTAAACATAGGTACTCAAAGAAACCTTACAAATACATATTACAAATGTATAAATCAATTGCAAAATCAGTAAGCAGAAGAGGTGAGTTTTGATTTATGTTTTAAATTAGGACAGATTGTTGAAGTCACGTCCAGTGTGTTCTCTAAAGCAGGGGTGTTCAAACTATGGCCCGCGGCCCATTTTGAATCGGCCCCCAGCTAATTCCAAAAGTATAATGTAATACGGCCCACAAATGAAACTTGTGCTTGTCATATATCGTACTTCTGAAATATATTACACAGTAGTACCCATGTGTTAATAAGACCACTTTTCAAATAAATTCAGTCAATTAAAGTTGGAAACATTTTCAAACAAATCTTAGTTGATAAAAAAAGCCCAATAACTTATTTACATAACAAGCTTTAAATATACCCTTAATATTTTCTCTTTTTATAAGCAATCTGAAGCTTCTGTTTTAAGGGATGAGCTGCTAACACAATAAATGAAACCCTCTGGAGAGCTGTGATGTACGCTGTTGTGTTTCTTACAGCATTTTCAAGTATCAAGCATAATTTACCTACATTTGATTGATTTTGCTAACTTATAACTTAACTTATGAGGCAGTATATCTCACCTCTAGTGAGCGGCCCCTGCCCTTCCTATATTTTTCTGTACTTAGCCCTCACCGAAAAAATGTGGACACCCCTGCTCTAAAGGGTTAAATATTCTTCATTTTGCAGGTGGGCCTCCATCATGCGCTCCTTCAGAGGGAGATGAGTGTGATCCTGATCCAGCTGGGGGCCACGGGGCCTCAGGGATACTCTCACCTCCCCGCTGGCCTGCAGCACCTGATCCAGAATAGCGCCCCCATCAGGTGGCCCGAGGGGTCGCGAGGAGCCGCCGCCTCGAACTCACGCTTCTGGAAGAGAGTTCGATACCTGATGCCTGCCATACCGGCCAGAAAACATCCTCCGTCTGCCATCATCTGAGACCAGAGGAGTAGCTTTGGATCTTCATGTAATGATAGATATGCATGAGCTCCTAAAAGAGACCAAACCAGTCCAATCCTGTTTGTAAAAAAACTTTTCAGAAAGAAATGTGTTATTTTCACGAGTACTTTAACACAGGAAAATAATTTGAATTGTATTTGTTTTGGTCAACAGCATACAGTACAGTTATTCTATCAGAGCATGTATCAAAAGTAGGTAAACGCATCTTCGCTTTATAGAAAAATAGGTAGAGTAACAATGTAAATACTTGAAAAAGCAACTTCACATAATTTCTGTGACTGTTTGTGTGTTTTTTATTTTAAATGTATTTATTGTATTTTGTGCATCCCCTTTTATTTCTACTGTAGTTACTGTATTTTTATGAAAAGAAAGCAACTGTGTTTGTATACAGAACAGGTTGTTCTTTAAAAATGTATGATTAGAACGTGGCAGGCTCCTCCGGTGTTGTTGAGAGCACATTGAGATGCTTTGGCAACAGAAACAAAAAGTATATATACAGAGTATATACTATTAATATGAGTAGCTGTTTTAGTTTTTTATTAGTTTTTTTCTTCTGTTTGTTGGCTTATTCCTATAAAAGAATGTCTCTATTAATTTAGAAGATGCTCATTGTTTCTTGTATAATGTCCATTGTTATGGATAAGTGTAATAAAGAAAGTGTTTTCCTTTGTGTTGGAGAAATAACATTATATTATTGAAGTTATACAGAACAAGAGGAAACCATGTATTTTGCTTACAACATTTTAGGTACCACTTTACAATAAGACTGACCTTATAAAGGGTTTACAAATAGTTTGTAATTCATTTATTAATTAGGTTGTGAACACTTTATAAATCCTTAATAAGCTTTTATAAGACATGAGATAACCAGGGCAACTGTGACCGGTTGCTTGCCAAATAGTGAGCCCACATGTATCTGTACTGCTAAGTCTTATATTGGCTACCTAGCTTACTTTGTCTCCTTCATCAGCCAGCATCCTTGGTATCTGTTGTTCACTGAGTTGATTCTCGCTAAGTAGCCAATATAAGGCTTAGTCATCTTGCCAAATAGTGAGCCCACATGTATCTGTTATTGCTAAGCCTTATTAGAAATGGTAGTAACTCATTAATAAATGGTGATTTGTTTCACACTTTACAATAAGGCTCCCTTTTGGCGACTATAAATTACATTACATTTAGCTGACGCTTTTATCCAAAGCGACTTACAATAAGTACATTCGACCAGGAAGACACAACCTTGAAGAAAACAGAATCATATAAGTACATCAGGTTTCATAGAGCCAAACATTTCAAGTGCTACTCAACTGGCTTTAGATAAGCCAGTCCTTTATTAGTATATAAGTGCTTTGTTAATAATTATATCGCTCGAAGTGGAGTCGAAAGAGATGAGTTTTCAGTCTGCGCCGGAAGATGTGCGCTATCTGCTGTCCTGATGTCAATGGGGAGCTCATTCCACCATCTTGGAGCCAGGACAGCAAACCCACGTGTTTTTGCTGATGGGAACTTGGGTCCCCCTCGCAGCGAGGGTGCAGCGAGCCGTTTGGCTGATGCAGAGCGTAGTGCACGCGCTGGGGTGTACGGTTTAACCTTGTCCTGGATGTACGAAGGGCCAGATCCATTCGCAGCATGGTAAGCAAGTACCAGTGTCTTGAAGTGGATTCTAGCAGTTACCGGAAGCCAGTGAAGGGAGCGGAGGAGCGGAGTGGTGTGGGAGAATTTAGGAAGGTTGAAGACCAGACGAGCTGTATAAATGTTAGTAACTCGTAAATAAATGGTCATAAGAGGTGCCAAGAAACATCAAGATGGGGGGGGGGGGGGGGGGGGGGGAATCAACTCAGTGAGCAACAGATACCAAGGATGCTGGCTGATGAAGAAGACGAAGTAAGCTAAGTAGCCAATATAAGACTTAGTCATCTTGCCAAATAGTGAGCCTGTGTTGATGTATGCAAACTATGTTAGAACTGGTTTATAAATGGTTCTTAATGATTAATAAAGTGTTTACAACCTAATTTCTAACCTAATTATGAACCCTTTATGAATCCTTTATAAGGGTAGTGTTATTGTAAAGTGGTACCACATTTCCTCTCTTGTATAATTCATGTTTGTGGACATGGACCTTCTGTTAATCTACTGATGTTGTTGTTGCAGCAGTTTTCCAGAAGATGGAGACACATCTCTGTTTTTCTTTTAGTGCGTTGCGATATGTTTGACCTGTTTCAGAAGATAATGATTTCCCCTGTGATCACCTTGTCTTGTCTTTCACCAGTTACACCTGCGTTAATACTCCATATGTGGGAAGGAATATTAAATGTACTACTTGAAGTATTCAGAGAGCCTGGTTGGTTGTCTTTACTGTACATTATATTACCAAGATATCACTAAAGCCACTTTATCTTAAGGGTAGCACAGCACAATCTAACATGTCCTTGTTACTTTTGCAATGAGAAGATGTGTCCATGAGGATTTTACTCCAAATGATTTTGGAAGAATTTCCCTCCCTATTGAAAAAGTGTTAATAAAATAATAATAATAGTTTTTGTTATAATTATTATAAGTTTTCAAAATCAAATTATTCCGATATCATTTGGAGTAGAATTCTATATAATAATAATAATAATAATAATAATAATAATAATAATGATGATACTTATAATAATAATAATAATAATAATAATAATAGTAATAGTTATTTAATAGGCTGCTAAATTATCCTTGTTATTATTATTAATGTTGGACAGTTTAAAGCGGAATATAATTTAGTTGACAAAAAAGGAGCAAAAACCTTTTGTCTATGAAACAAACCAAAAAGTGCAAAAGGGTAAAAGTCGCCATTATAATATGGCCTGGATCAAATCACTACAATATGACACATGTATGGTCACAAGGCTCCTTATTGTAGCAGCAACAGTATGTATATATATTATTAGTAAACTGTAATTTGGCCCTTAAATAGTGTTTTATCTGTCAGATAGTTTACAGATTTGTATCTCCACGCTCATGTATTATATTTTCAGTTTAGTTCCGTTTTAACTTCTCTTTTGGGATGTTTATATTCTTTAATTGTTTGTTTAAAAAACAATGTATGTCTCATGAGTGCCATACTTTGTTTCACATTCCCAATTTGGGATTACTAAAGTATATATTATTTTATAATGTATGCACGTGGGCTGATGCTGGTGGTTGCCGCTAGGTGGTGACAGTGAGCACACAGAGACATTCTGTGTCTACAGAAGATGTCGAAACACACTGTTTATACAGCAGGAGGTTATATTTCCACTTTCTGCGGGACCGTTCCTTATTCAGTGATGGAGGATTCACACAGGACGCATTGGATGCTACGTTAAAGTAAGTGTGACCTCCTGTCATTCCTCTTTTTTACCTCGATATGAAAGATAGTAGGTGAAAACGTCTATTTAACGTCAGTAAACGACACAAAATGCTTCTTTGTTATTGAACAAAAAGCCTTCTAGCATGCTAAATGAAATCAATAAATACATGTTTACTAAAATGGCGTCGTAATGGCTAGTCCAAAGTAAATGATTAGCTGCAAAACAGTAGATTAAAATACATACATACATACATTACGGCAGGTAATGGCAAACCTGGTTGTTTTCAGGTTTGCCGTTACCTGCCGTAAAGTCCTTATAAACTCTGTGTAGTGTGTATACTGTTTACCAGTGGTGGAAGTACATTTACCAAGTACTGTACTTAAGTAACGTTTTGATGTACTTGTACTTTACTTGAGTAGTTCCATGTTATGCTGCTTTATTATTTTACTTTGCAAGTTCATATAATTAACACAAATTGTAAATCAACTAATATATTACTCTTTAGTAGCTGCAAAATGAACATATTGTACACATTCATGGATAACTAATTATAAGCCATTGATATAATATATATTCTGAAATTGTTCTTTCTGCATAATGAGTACTACTAGTTTTGGTACTTTAAGCTTATTTGTAAGATTGTAACATTTTGAATGCAGGACTTTTACTTGTAGGAGAGTATTTTTACACTGTGCTTGTATCCACTTTTACTTAAGTAAATTATCTACTTCTTCCAACTATGCACCCAAACTGTCTTTAGTGTTTCTGTTTGCATTATACTCACTCAAATTCTGAAGAAAATGTAGTTCATTCAGGCAGCTCTTAGGCTGCTGAACATGTACAGTTTGCTCTTCTCAAACAAACACACCCTTACACACACCCTCTCTCTCTATCCTTGATCTTATATGCAAAGTAGATGTCTTGACAGATGAAACAAAGAAGACCTTTAGCAGCTGACAGCCTATTTTCATGATGTCAAGGTGATTTTGTGCAGTAACTCAACACAGATTACAGAAACACAAAAAGCCGACGCTCAGGTTTGACAGAAGTGATAGAGGAGAGTGACTGAAGACTTCTGTAAACGGCAACGACACATTTAGCTAATGTACTTTATCCTGCTGTAAATCAACATTTTCTTTGTACATACTGACATGCATAAGTATAGTCAGACATTCCTAAATGATTGCAGTGCAGTAGTTGAGTTGTTTTGTCATTATACACAGATATTTAGTTAAATCACTGGTTTGGTGACTCTTCTGCGCTTGGAAACGTGTCATGTTGTGTTTTACTGTATTTTAAAGACGCATTTTCAGGTTCATATCAGTATGTAGTATGTAGTGTCTCTACTTTAAAGAGTCCTCCTGCTGATGTTCAGGTGTATATCAGTATGTAGTGTCTCTACTTTAAAGAGTCCTCTCCTGCTGATGTTCAGGTGTATATCAGTATTTAGTGTCTCTACTTTAAAGAGTCCTCCTGCTGATGTTCAGGTGTATATCAGTATGTAGTGTCTCTACTTTAAAGAGTCCTCCTGCTGATGTTCAGGTGTATATCAGTATGTAGTGTCTCTACTTTAAAGAGTCCTCCTGCTGATGTTCAGGTGTATATCAGTATTTAGTGTCTCTACTTTAAAGAGTCCTCTCCTGCTGATGTTCAGGTGTATATCAGTATGTAGTGTCTCTACTTTAAAGAGTCCTCTCCTGCTGATGTTCAGGTGTATATCAGTATGTAGTGTCTCTACTTTAAAGAGTCCTCTCCTGCTGATGTTCAGGTGTATATCAGTATGTAGTGTCTCTACTTTAAAGAGTCCTCTCCTGCTGATGTTCAGGTGTATATCAGTATGTAGTGTCTCTACTGTGACATGTCTCCATACTTTAATGTTCAAAAAGCTCTTTTCACCCTCTGTCTGAAACCAGAGCCCTCTAAAAGCATTATTGGGCCCCTTTAAATCTCACATATTGGATATTTCAACTAGAATTGGCTCATTATATTAATATGTGGCTGGCCTTCTGAGCAAAATGCCCTTCATCTCTGCTGTTTTTTAAATTTTTATATCAGATTTCATTGTTTAAGTGCAGAAGAATAATTAATTATTTGTTCGTAAATTGCATTAAGAGGTTAGACAACAATGTGGTTGGTTTTTATTAGAAAGGATGCATTATTTTATCCCGTGCATCTGCATGATGGCATCTGGCAGTACATTTAAAAAAAAAGTTTTATTCACCCAGGATTTTCTTTGTCTTCCTTTGTCTCCAACCCAATGCAATGGAGACGAGTGGAATTACATCTGGTCACTCCGGTTACTGAGGACACATTTTAACGTTTTTTTTAAAACTATTTCTCTGCTTGGGAAAGTGG